TAAGCAACGGCTGTCTTTGATTGTTCCCTCCTGGGTGTCCCTACCACTCTCAGGGGGCTCTGTGCATGCAGAAAGAAACCTCATTAAAGTCTTAATATAAACAAGAAGGCCCTGCTTTCCTCCTGCCAACCCTGAACAATAAGAAGGGGAGAGGACTCAATGCCACAGCAGAGAGGCGGGCCCCTTATTTATATTAGCATCAGTAAACGCCGGTGAAATACATACATGTGATGTAGATCAAAGGGGCCCAGGGAAAAGGGGAGGTAGAATGGGGTTGTGTGTGAACAATCCCTTAGGCGTCATTCAGACGGGTTGAACCCTCCACCCAGAACAATACCATTTCAGATGATTTCCTCAGATGTGTTGCTAAAAGGTCTTCATGGTCTGGGTCAGAAGGAAAAGCTCATAGTCACTCACGAGGTTGAGAACCCAGCCAGGCCAGGGGACGGGACAAAAGTCATAGGTTGGTCTGGCAGCAGAAGGGGTTTGAGGTGAATCTGACCTCCATCCTCTACACCGTCGCTTCACAAAGAGTGGTCCCTGGACCAGCAGCACCAGCCTCACCTGGATGCTTGTCAGAAATGCTGACTCTCGAGCCTGATCCAGCCCCATGGAACCAGACCTGCCTTAAAAGGTCCCCAGAGCTGTGCCTACAGAGTGAGTTCGAGGAGCACTTCCCTACACCATCAGCGAGACGTCTGGAAATCGGTCAACCACAGAAGGACCTTGTTGCAGAAATGAAGGGCCATTTAGCCCAGGTGGGAGCAGTGGACCTCAGGGACCCATCACCAAGACCCAGCTGTGGGCCTAACTTCATGGGACAGTCTCAGCTCCGTGCTGGTTAGGACCAGGAAGTCATGTCTGGCTCTCAGGAGACACACTTGTTTTCTGGAGCTACGACTAGAGAGTCAGCTGCCAGAACCAAGCTGCCTCACTGCATAACTTCCTGACACCTTCATGTATTTGGTCCAAAGGAGATGGGACCCTGGGGAATATTACTCAGCAACAAAAAAGGGACAGATTCTTAATACATGCAACATCTGTGGATGGGTCTCAAGGTCATTGTGCTGAGTAAGGCCATCTACTCTATGCTTCCATTTATATAACACTAGAGGCCTGGTGCATGAATTTGTGCACCAGTGGGGTCCCTCGGCCTGGCTTGCAGGATCAGGCCAAAACCGGCTCTCCAACATCCTCCAAGGGGTCCTGGATTGCAAGAGGGTGCAGGCCAGGCCGAGGGACCCCACCAGTGCATGATCAGGGCCAGGGAGGGACACGGGAGGTTGGCCAGCCAGGGAGGGACTTCAGGAGGGCTCCAGGGCATGTCTGGTTTGTCTCGCTCAGTCCTGATCAGCCGGACCTCAGCAGCAAGCTAACCTATCGGTTGGAGCATCTGCTCCCTAGTGGTCAGTGAACATCATAGTGAGCAGTTGAGCGGCCTTAGCATATCTAATGATAAGCATGTCACTCTTTGATTGGTTGAAAGGATGACCGGACAAGTGGACACTTAGCATATTAGGCTTTTATTATATAGGATTCTCAAAATGCCTAAATGCCAGGGGATAGGGAAGGTGTGTGTGGAAGGGGCTAGGAGAGGCTATAAAGGGGCAGCATGTGGAAGGTCTTTGTGATGGGACAGTGATTGTGGTGGTTAAACGCATCTCCACATGTCATCAAATGGCCGAGAACTAGATGCATGCATTGCACCAACATCATTTTCCTGGTTTTGATATTGCACTGGACTGCACATTGGGGGGAATTGGGTGAAGAGTACACGGGACCTCTCCATACTATCTTTGCAGCTTCCTGTGAATCTACAGTTATTTAAAAACAAAAGAACAAAACAAAACAAAAAGGAGATGGTAGTCACGAGGCCATCATCTGGTGAGAAGCATCCTCATAAAAAAATATCCTTGGAGCCTGTTTTAAGGCTTTCATTTGAATTCCTGCCTGTTTTACTGAAAACATTGTACACAGAGGTCTGTTTTCCTAAGCCCTCCTGAATGTCCTATCACACGAATGGCATTACCACAGTGTTCTCACACACGGATGTAGTCCAGGCACACAGAACATCAGCCAGAAAACTCTCATTCTGAGTGGAGAAAATGGGTCCAGAATGGAGGAGAGGCCTGGCCATGGCCACCCAAGTAGCTGACGCAGCCACAGAGCCAGGGGTGAGACCTGGTCCCAGCCCAGAGCCCCTCTATGACGCCACCCGCCTCCTCCCCGGGCAGCCCTCCGTCCCAGAGGTTTGAGACGGCATTAAGATTCAACACTCATCCGAAAGAAAGTTCAGTCTAAAAAACAACATCTGAAGAGCATACCAATGATACCAGGACATCTCTTTTAATTGCCTATTCACGCAGACAGATTGTCTTTTCATATTCAGAGCTAAACTTGGAGATGTGTCCTTTCGCGGGGCCCTCGCTATCTGACTGCCTCATCAGGAAGGGGAGCTCGTGTGCAATGTGATTGCTGAGTGCCAGTTCTATTTTTTCCTACCAAGAGGAAGTTTAAAATCTGCTGGGTTATTTATTTTATTTTATTTTTTCCCCTGCTGGGTTATTTTTAAAGAGGGTGAAAAAATAGGCATGATATCGGCTTCCGGCTTCTACAGTGGCCCTGGCCAGAGGCACGTGCTGTTGGGTTCAAGGCCCTGGCCAGCTGCGGGGAGGGGGCCAGAGGTAATGGGAAGTTTCACCGGGGAGGGGTGGGGAGTGAGTGTCACACAGTCAAGTGGCAGAGAAGGTCACGGGCCTGGCCATCGACCTGAGGACAGCGATCCTGGGTTTCTCTGGAGTTGATCTAGCAGTTGGTTTCATTGGGGGATATGTGACGACTCCCCTCCTTTCCAAAGGGCCATGGTCCCCAGTCCTGGACTGAAAGTCAGGGCTCCACTGGGTCTGGGACCTGCTCAGTCCTTTGTGGGGCTTTGAGCTTTAGACTCAAGCCATAAGCGTCACAAACAGTGTCTCACATTCCTGAGTCGATGAGGCGTTTGGGAGAGCGACTGCTCACAACTCTAATTTAGGAAACATTAGGGAAATGCAAATTAAAACCATGAAGAGCTACCACCTCAAACCAGCCAGAATGGCTATTACAAAAAGGTCAACAAATAACACGTTGGCGAGGATGTGGAGAAAGAGGACCCCGTGCCCTGTGGGAGGGACTGCAGATTGGTGCAGCCACCGCGGGAAACATTGGCGATTCCTCGAAAAACTAAAAACAGATCAACCATTTGACCCAGCAATTCCACTTCTGGGTATTTTTTCCGAAGAAAACAAAAACACGAATTGGAAAAGAATTTTGCACCCCCATGTTCATTGCAGCGTTATTCATAACAGCCAAAATATGGAAGCAACAGATCAATGGGTTAGGAAGATAGCGTGCACACACATGCACACAGGAACATTACACAGCAAGAAAAAAAGAATGAAATCTTGCCATTGGTAACAACCTGGGTGGACCTAGGACAGTGGTTGGCAAACTGCGGCTCGTGAGCCACATGCGGCTCTTTGGCCCCTTGAGTGTGGCCACGAAGTTTCAATCGCACTGTACGTGCGCGCCCGCACATGTTATTTTGTGGAAGAGCCACACTCAAGGGGCCGCAGTTTGCCGACCACTGACCTAGGAGATATTATGCTAAGTGAAATAAGTCAGGCAAAGACAAATACCATATGGTTTCACTTATATGTGGAATCTTAAACAAACAAACAAACAAACAAACAAACAAACAAAACACTCATAGAAACAGAGACCAGAACGGGGGTTTGGAGGTGAAAAAGGTGAAGGGGAATGTAGTCAGTAATAATGTGGTAAAGTTACACGGTGACAGATGATCAGTAGGATTAGTGGGTGATCACATCGTAAGGTATAAAAATGTTGAATCACTATGTTTACACCTGAAACTAATATAACCAATATAAGGATGTATGCCGACTATATGCTTTAAAAAAATTAAAAAGAAGAGCTCACGTGTCTATACAAAGGATGCACGGTTTGGGAAAATCATTTCTTTTAATGACAGAGAAAGCACACCAAACTAGAACAGAAGCCCGTCAGGAGCTGCCACTGTACCAGTCAACGCCCAGAGGCCCTGATAGCATTAGCCAGTCACAGGGGAGTCCATCGCGGATAAGGGAACATCCACGCGGCATCTCTGAGGAAACGCAGGAGGCAGGAGATGGTGATGGGTCACACATGTGCTGTGTGTTTGTCACCGGGACCCCTCTGCAGTACCTTTTCCTTCCTCATGGATGGTTGTAGGGCCTGAGGAGGTTGGCAAATGACCAGGTGGAAGAGAGGCCTTGCGTATGGGCATCACAGAAGAACCAACACCGAAGACACACGTGGCCCGGCTTCTCCACGGTCACCCCATGGAACGGAGCACGATGCTGGTCCTCTGAACAGCGGCTCAGGGAGCAGGTACGATGGACGAACAGCAGCTCCTTTGAAATTCAGGGTCTGCGCACGGCTTCCCAAAGGCATGCTAGGAAATAGGTTTGTCAACGCAACTTGGCCATCCCAAGGGGGTAAAGTCATTCTAGTTTTCACTGCATGTAGCTAGGTTTCAAATGAAAGGACAAGAACAAAGGCAGCAACTCAAAAATTATTTGGAATATTGTGGCACTTCACCCATCTCTGTTGCTTAGAATATATGGCAGAGCAAATGGAACCCTGTTGATATAAACTTTCATTATAGATAACCCTATACTGTACACTCTCCAAATACAGAAAGAAGCCATCCTATCATATAGGTTTCATCTTGAAAAATAATCTAACATAGTCATAGGCTCTGGCTAGTAACAAACTATTAACATCTTCTGAGAATACAGAGAAAACTCTGGAATTACTAGTAAATTCTCTGACGTGCTTTCCCCCTCCCCCCTCCCCATTCAGCATCATCTATGAACACATGTCTGCAAAAGCATCCCAGACTCATTCATAATTAGGAAAAGAAATGGACATGTTGTTTCATCCAATGGACTTTTAGCAGAAAGTGGTGGAATATTTGTTTTTTGTTTTTTTTTACCTTGGCAAAAATGAAGCACAAACATAACATTTCACAGGTGCGGTCCATGCAAATGCATGTTTTCTTATGCGGGGCTATTTCAATCTCACCCCGAAACCACAACTAGCATGCAGGCTGTTTTCGACTACTGAGTGAGAGAGAGCTATTGGCAGTGCACCTCTTCTGTGTCACCGTGATCACTAAGGCAGGAGTATGATTTCACCTTGGATAGAATATCAGCAAGATCTTGTCAGATGCAGGTTTATACAGTGTGGACCTGTGTCTTACTGTTGTTGTTGTTGTTTTAAAGAAAAAGAAATCTCAAAACACAGATCCCTAAACACAATTCAGTTGAAATAGAACTGTTATGCTTTTAGAAATATATTTTAAACTACAGGCTGCCCTGTGTGTGTGTGTGTGTGTGTGTGTGTGTGTGTGTGTGTGTGTTAATGAACATTTTAAAAAGTCCCCACCCCTAAAAATTTGTCAAATTATTTCTTCGCTATTGGTAACAGTCTCACCAATCTGCGATCAGGGTTGACTCTTGCTCAGCTGTGGCTGCTGCGGTCCTCGGTGGGTAACACAACTCTCTGCAGTTAGGTGTTCCAGCTGCCCACCTGGAACCTAGACGACCTGAGGTTCCCAGTCCGTCCTTCTGTCAGTGGTCCCCACAACAGATGCTCAGCGACCCAGCAGTGCCTTCGAATGGGGTTAGCTTGGTGGCCCCATGTTGGCCTTCAAGCTCTGGACCCAGCTGCGCTCTGCTCTGCAGGCCAGTGGAATGTCCTCTGTTTTTCAACAGAAACCCGTGGAGCTGAATTTGCTTATTCAAGGGGATCCAAGGCAGTAGAGGCAGCTCCCTGGCCCAGCCAAAAGCAGACACCAGGTGAAATGTGTGTTTGTGTGGAGCCGGCGCAGCAGGAGCACTGGCACGTCCCGGGGAGTGGTCCCTGCACTGGACGCTTCACACGACGGAGCCTTTGGAAGACGACAAGTGGATGGACTGAATCCTGATGGCCAACGTCCTCTGTAAGTCCTGCAGCACATCCTGGCTCGTGCCTTCGCCATTCTTGTCGTAGAGGAGCTGCTTGAACGCCTCGTTCTCAATGAGGACCATCATGTTTTTGAGAAAGTAGCCTTCACAGTACGCGGAGAGCTCGGTGACTCCGAGGAACTGTGGGGAGTGGAGAAGAAGCGGGAGATGGTTATGGTTCTGAGAGCACCCGATGGCTTCCCTAGGTAACAACGGCAGACACCTATCACCGTGGGTTGACTGTGAAAGTGGCCCTGCTCCTCCACCCTTGGCTATAGTCACACTCTTGGGGCATGACTTTGTAGCTTCTCCATCTAAGGGCTAGAGTCTGTCTCTTGGACTTGTGACCTGCTCAGGCCAACAGAACATGGTAGAAGGGAGAGTCGCCAGTTCTGAGCTACATTCATGTGGCAGGGTGCTCTCTCTCTCTCTCTCTCTCTCTCTCTCAGAACCCAGCCTCTGCCACAAAAACAAGCCCGAGACAGTTGGTCTGGAGGTGAGTGACCACGTGAGACTGAGTGGAGTCAACCCAGCTGTCCCAGCTGAAACTTCTGATAGCAACAGGGTCCAGCCAGGATCAGCAAAGCCAGCCAAGATCAACCAGCCAGCTGACCTTGCCAGCGACTCTTGTATACGAGATAAGCACTCACTGTCTCAACCACTGGGTTTTGTGTTTCTTCGTAACACTATAGATCACTGGCATGTGAAGGGAGTTGTAGACACAATTCTAAGGTCGTTACAAGAATTAACCCATTTAATTCTCACAACAATCCTATGAGTGGGCACTGCCTACCTACCCAATATCTTTAGGGCAGGGGTGATTTTTGCCTCCCAGGAGACATTGGGAAAAGCCTGGTGCTATTTTTGGTTGTCACGAATGGGCTGGTGATGGTGTGTACACCACTGGCATCTAATGGGTAGAAGCCATGATGCTGAACATCCCCACGATGGGCAGTCCCACAGCGAAGGAATTAGCTGGGAAGGGCTCCTTGAAATGACATCCTGCTGCTTTATTTAGATGCCGAGTCATCCTTCTGAATGCTCGAATATTCTGTCCTTTAGACCAGAGATGCGCTTTACGTTGTCAGGCGTGGCATGGTGCGATGACGACGAGGCAGTGATGGTGGAATGAGCTGGAAGACCTGGGTTCCATTTGGGGGTTCCCCACCTTATGAATATGTGACCAGGGCTGGGTCACTTGGCCTCTGGCTTTGGGTTCCTCATTTTCAAAATGGGAATCATGACACTTGCAACACAGACCTGTTGGCGGGGTTCAGTGGAATATGATTGATGGCAGGACTCTGTCATCGTCACTCAGAGGAGGCAGGTTGGAAAGCGGCTAAGGGAGGGGGCTCTGGAATCTGCCTGGGTTTTTAGTCCAGACTTCGCCACTCACTAGCCATCTGCTGTTGGGAAAGTTACTTAATCTCTCTGTGCCTCAGTATTCTTATCCATAAAGTGGGGATCAAAATAATACCTAATGAGCTGTCATTGCGATTAAATGAGATAATACATGGATCATCCAGAACACTGATTGTAATCAGTAGTCACTCACTGTCAGTTGTCACGATAAATGTAGACTATAATTCTTCTTCTTCTTCTCAATAACTTGTATCGGTGACCCATGTGCACAAAGTGGCCAGGTTGTGGTAAGAAGAGTTGACTGTATCTACAGAACCCAGCTCAGTTACCTGGCCTGTAACCTTGAACTCGCTGACATCATGTGCTGATCCACTGAGCCAACAGCCCAACTGTCTACATAAAGACCACGTGAAACCAAATCGACAACAACAAAACAACCTGACTAAAAAAATGGGCAGAGGATCTGAATAGGTATTTTTTCCAAGGAAGATATATAGACAGCAAACAAGGACAGTAAAGGTGTTTAACATTACTGATTATTAGAAAAATGCAAATCAAACCCACAATAATGTACTACCTCATACCTGTTAGAATGGTTATCATCAAAAGGACAAGAAACAAGTGTTGGAGAGGATGTGGAGAAAAGAGAACCCTTGTACACTGTTGGTGATATTGTAAATTGGTGCAGCTACTGTGAAAGTCAGTACAGAGGTTCCTCATAAAATTAAGAATAGAACTACCTTATGATCCAGCTATTCCACTTCTGGGTATTTATCCAAAAAATATAAAAACACTAATTTGAAAAGATACATGCACCTCTATCTTCATTGCAGCATTATTTACAATAGCCAAGACATAGGAACAACCTGAATGCCCATCGATAAATGAATGGATATAGAAGATGGTTATATATATATATATCTTCTTCTACACACACACACACACACACACACACACACACACACATACACACACACACAATGGAATACTACTCAGCTCTAAAAAAGATGGAACATTGCCATTTGCAGCAACATAGATAAACCTTAAGGTTTTATTATGCTAAGTGAAATAAGTTGGACAAAAAAGAAAAAAAGCCATATGGTTTTACTCATATATGGAATATAAAACAAAAAAGAAATGAACAAACAAAAATAAAAAACAAGCCCATAGCTACAGACAACAGATTGGTCGTTACCAGAGGGGAAGTAGGTTGAGAGAGGGTATGGTGATGGATGGGAACTAGAATATTGGTAGTGAGCACCCTATAGGGTATACACATATCAAATTATAATGTTGTATGGTTTGGCTCAGTGGATAGAGTGTTGGCCTGTGGGCCAAAGGGTCCTGGGCTGAAGGGTCCCGGGTTCAATTCTGGTCAAGTGTATGTATCTCAGTTGCAGGCTCCTACCCGGCCTGGGCCTCGGTCAGGGCGTTTGCAGGAGGCAACCCATCGATGTGTCTCTCTCACATTGATGCTTCTCTCTGTCTTTCCCTCTCCCTTCCACTCTCTCTAAAACTCAATGGAAAAATATCCTCGGGTGAGGATTAAAAAAATTAATTAAAAAATGTTGTACACTTGAAACTTATATAAAGTTATTAACCAATGTTACCACACACAAAAAATTCTTCCACAGTGCTGGAGCAAACATACAAAAAACCATGTGCAATCTTGTACAAATCAAATCACTTTTCTGGGCCTCAGTTTTCCAAGCTACAAAAAGAGGGGCGTAGACTGGAGGGAACCACACTCAGGGTGCATTTGGGATGTGGACACACCAGGGAGTTCTGTGGTCTCCGAATGACTGGGGACTGTACATCAGACACTTGTCCATGTCCACACAGCTAACTACTAACGGAACTGGGACCAACACTCTCATCTCTCAGACCCGCGATTTTAACCTTTTCATCTCATGGCACACATAAACTAATTACTGAAATTCTGTGGCACACCAAAAAATTATATTTTTTGCTGATCTGACAAAAAATATGTATAATTTTTATTTATTCACACTGGACAGCTATTGTGTTGGCTGTTGTCACTTTTTTTTTTAATTTGACAATCTAAGGGAGAAGAGGTCAATGCCTTCATGTTTTAAAAATTCTCGCGGCATACAGGTTGGAAATCACTAGACCAATGGTTGACAAACTACAGGCCTGCTACGTGTTTTTGTTAATAAGGTTTTATTGGAACACAGCCACACCCATTCATTTACATATTGTCTGCGGCTGCTTTTGCACTGCAATGGCAGAGTTAAGTAGGTACAAAAGGAATCGTATGGCTTGCGTGAAAATATTTACCGGGCCCCTCACAGAGAAGGTTTGCCGGCTCCGGAGCCTCTGATGGGACAGCTTTGCTGGTTAAGAAAGGATGGCTAAGCCGAGCGTTTAAGAAATGGGCTTCTCATCTGCATAAAACTCCACAGCTGTCCCAGTTGGATGGCGTATAGAGGTAACGTTGCCATGGCCTTGCTGGCGCTTGGAACGTGGTGGTTAGCAACTAAATGCCTGCATTTCCTGTGGTTCTACACCAGGTGCTGGTTTCTTTCCTTTTGTTCTCTTTTACTAAATCAGCCCCCGTTTGCAGCACGATCCGTCAGTAATAGAATCCACACGGCACGTGGTCATTAGTGGGGGGTGCAGTGTCCACAGCGCAGGGGAGCAGGGCAGGGGTGCGGCACTGCCCAGGCCTCCATGCCCGTGTTCCAGGAAGGACAGGCGTCTGCATTGGAAACACTCCAGGATGTGGCCTGGGAGGCCGAGGCCGGTGTCTGTAAATGGCAAAGCTCTGGCTGCAAAGGAACCTAAATGAAAGAGAATACTCTGCCATCGAAGTTCTCAGCCTGGCACAAACGTGCGCCCAGCCGGGGCTCATGTTGCACGGGGCTGCATTACTAAATAACCAGATAGCGGCCGAGGCTGCCTGCCAAGGAGCGTGAAGAGATTAAAACGGGGTTGTGGAATGCAGGCCTTACCACCAAGGTGATGGGCCACGGCAAAGCCACGTATGATGTGGGGTTCACAGGGCATGCGTGCCCATGGCTGGGGGTGGACAGAGGACCACAGACTGATCAGGCTCTCTTTCTGGGTAGAGAGAGTCTTTCTGGATGCTTTTCTGCCAAGTAATCAGTTCAAGATTTTTTTTTAAGGCTGTGTCCTGAGAAACCAGATTTTGGTAAAACTGTCACTTAACCAAAACACCCAGTGCTGTGTGTGTGTGTGTGTGTGTGTGTGTGTGTGTGTGTGTATGTGCAAAAGTGCATTGTGTATGTATGAAGTAAGTAGGCTGCTGTACTTTTGATTTACTGATTACCAATCAGAAAATATTGAGTATCAAGGATCGTTGCAAATATTCAAACAATTTTTAGGCCACACAGTAAACCCAAAGTTAAGAACCTGTGCTTTGGAGTCAGACAAATCTAGGTTTATACTCCTGGGTACATACCCCAAAGAACTGAAACCAGAGGCTCGAACACAGGGGTTGTCCACCCATGTTCACAGCAGCATTACTCACAATAGCCAAAAGGTGGAAGCAACCTAACTGTCAATGATGGACGAATGGATAAACACCACGTGGTGTGCACATACATTATTCAGCCTTAAGAAGGAAGGGCATTCTGACACATGCCAAGACATGGATGAATCTTGAGGACACGGTGCTAAGTGAAATAAGCCAGTCACAAAAGGACAAATACTGTGTGATTCCACTTCCAGGAGATACCTAGAAGAGTCAGACTCACAGAGACAGAAAGTAAAATGGTGGTTTCCAGCGGCTGGGTGGAGAGGGAGATGGGGAGTCAGTGTTTAATGGGTACAGAGTTTTAACCTAAGATGAGAAATCTGGAGACGGAGGGTGGTGGTGGCTGCATAACAATGTGAATGTACTTAATTGAGCTGAACTGCACATTTAGAAATGGTTACAGTGTGAACTGCATGTTACATATATTTTACCACAATAAAAAAACAACAACCCCTCCATAATAGCTGTGTGACCTTAAGCAAGTTACTTCCCCTCTCTGTGCCTGTTTCCTTATTATGACATGGGACCGGTGATAGCATTTATCTAAAAGGGTTTTGGTGAAGATTAAAAGAGATGGTGCAACAGGGCTGTTAGCACAGGAGCCTGCACATGAGAAGGAACTGTTGAATGTTGGTTTAAGACAGAAAATAACATCTCACACGCAACCTGGTTTTTCCCGATGAGCCACGAGGGAATTATTCACATCAGGTGTCACTCCGAAGAGCTGTGGATGTCCGAGGCAAGGACACTGAGCTCCAGTTATCAAAAGCTTTTCATTTGTTTTTGATTGATTCCTGATCTTACCTCATTATTTCTTCCCAGAGAATGTGAATCCCTGGTCCTGAGCACAGGAAACAGCAGGAAGCGGCACCTGGGCTAATTAATCCTCTTGGTCCCAGGTCCCCACGTGTGAAACGAACTAGATTAAACCCAGTGGGTCCCGAAAACGGGAGTGAAGACTGGCTGTGGCGCTGAAGTCACAGCAGTCACCCTGGGAGCTCGTTAAAAATACAGATTCCTGGGCCCCACTGCCGGGACCTGGCTGTGGCCGTGGAGGGCGGGGGGAGGGAACTAAGCAGATTGAAACTCTCCCCTAGTGATTCTGATTAGTAGTGTTAGACCCACCTGTCCCTGGCTCTCCCCCGTCCTGACACCCTGATCTCAACCTTGGCCACATCCGAGAATCACAGGGGGAGCTTAGAAAAACACCCTTTCTCCAGGATCCCCCAAAAGAGCTTGTTGAATTGCTCTGCGAGAGGTCCCGGGACCAGGGATTTTAGGTGAGCGTCCAGGTGATGCTCCTGTGCGGCCCGTGCTGGCAACCATGGCACCAGAATCGCTGCGAAGCCACATATGGGCCTCCCCCAGAGTTTCTGATTCTGGAGGTCGGGATGGGGTAGAATGTACACTCTGAACAGGTTCCCTGGGGGTGCTGACGGTGCTGGATTGTGCCCACACTCTGAGAACCTCTGTTCCAGAACCTGGCTGCCCAAGGTGTGGCTCCGCCCAGTCTCGGGGCGGGGGGGACTTCCCCTGGGAGCTTGTCACACCTGCGGCTGAAGCAGCCTGCAATGCGGGGCATGTGCGCATGGGAGCACTCGGTAAAAACAACTCTGCTCCGGGGACCTCTGGGTTCCCGCTTTCATCTGGAGGGGAGGGAGGAAGGGACGGCATTATTCCAGAGCTGGGAGGGTGCAGGCGGGTCAGCCCTGGGTAGCAGGCCCGGCCTGGGCTCTGCCTGTCTCGGTCTGACTGTGCAGGGACACCTCGCCTGCCCGCGTACGCGCAGGGTCAGCTCGGGCAGCGCCGGCGCCCTTACCTTGGCGTGGTTGTAAATGTCCACGCAGTTGTCCGTGTTGATGCCTTTGGCACAGATAATCTCACAGTGTCGCTGCAGAGCCTCCAGCTGGAAAAATTTAGCCGCAGACAGAAGCTAAAAACCGTAAAAGAGCCTGTTAGAGGTTGGGAGGTGGAAGGTGAGGAAAATCCCTCGCTCCACAGCGGTGTCCCGAGGTGACGGGCCTGGGAATACTGTGGGTACGTCGTTTTCATTTTAAAGCGCAGAGGTGACGCGGAGGAATGAGACACAGCAATGGAACTCTACCGTGGGGAAGGTGGCTCAGGGGAGGGAACCAAACTTACATCTACTAGAGCAGGAGGTCGAGCAAAATGCCTAAAACGGTTCTGTCCAGAAATCAGGGTGAATGGTGTCAGCTAGCAAGATGGATATGGACGTGGCTGGCTCCCTGTTCATCTAGGACTCCACTCAAGTATCACCTCCTCCAAGAAGCCTCCCAGACCACCTCATCTCAGGTGGCCCCCCTCCATCTCCGCCTGTCCCCCACGACCCTGTCTCTCTCCTCCTCACAGCCCTTCTCACACCAGACATGATGTCATGCCCGTCGCCCTCCCCAGCGTCTGGGAGGGCGGGGATCACTCTGTCTGTTTGCATCAGTGCTGTGTCCCAGCTGGGCAAGTGGCCTGGCAGAAGTGTGCTGAGAGCTGAGAGACGGACAGGCTTGGGGGAGGAGAAGAAAGAGCTAAAATGCCAGTCAAAGGGACACCTTTGGGGAAAGGCTTGGGGCGTCGGGGGCTGGGTGAAATGCTTTTTTTAAACAAACCCTTCTGTATTATTTACATGATCTAAATCTACGCTCATTATTTTGATTTGAAAAGAATTTTTAAAAATGTTTACAGCCTGGCCGGTGTGGCTCCGTGGATTGAGCGTCGTCTGTGCACCAAGAGGTTGCTGGTTTGATTCCTAGTCAGGGCGCATGCCTGGGTTGTGGGCTTGATCCCCAGTAGGGGGTGTGCAGGAGGCAGCCAACTGATATTTCTCTCTTATTGATGTTTCTATCTCCCTCTCCCTCTCTAATCAATTAAAAGGAAAAAAACCCCATAAAATTACACCAGGACTTGTAAAATTGTGAAATAATTGAAGAAAAAAAAGTTTACAAAAGAGCCTGTGTCCTGAGACTGTAGCCTGGGGCTGAAGGAGAGGAGAAGGGTCAGAGGGGTGGTCCAGAGAGACAAGAGAGTAACTTTTTGTGAGGGGGAGGGTGGCAGGGGGACTGACCACTGAGGGCCGTTTACAAAGCACTTCATCCTGTTATCTCATTTACTCAGGAAGCTTTCGTGGAGAAAAGGATAAAGGGGCCACACAGTGAGGACACTGCTCTATGGCACCCGCTATGTGCCAGGCACTGTTCTAAGCACCTAATACACAGGCACTCTTAAAACCCTAAACACCCAATTCGGTAGAATTATTACCCCCATTTTATAGGTGAGGAAACTGAGGCTCAGAGCAGTTAAGTACTTGTCCCAGATCACACAGCTCAGAGGGCAGAGCCTGGATTTAAACCCAGTCTGGCCCAGAGCCCACACTTTAACCGGTGGATGGGGTCGCCTCGTGGACAACCGGTAGCGTGCTGACATCTCTGCTCGGCCAGGGACCCTGGGCTTCAGACACCTCAATGGGGTCCTGTGCCTTGCTCAGGAGCAGAGTGATTTGGGCTTTTGGTTCAAAGCTTCCAGCTTGGAATAGGAAAACCTACAAGGGTTCCACTTCGAGGAAGGAGCAGGGGAGATCTTGGCCTCCGACAGAAAAGAGCAGGAACAGGTCCCCTGCCATGGGCTGAATCCCCGAGGCAGACAGGAATGAGGGGCGGTTGGGGTGCTGTGGGAGTGAGGGGCGGTTGGGTTGCTGGCGGGAGTGAGGGGAGGTCAGGGTGCTGCGGGAGTGAGGGGCCGTCAACCTCAGTGAAGCCAGGAGAGCTTTGTAATGGTCTCCCAGCTTCTGCTCAGGGCCAGAGCTGGGATTTGAAGGCTGTTTTTAGATGATATAATTCTCTTACAAATGACCAGGGACAAGTCATCAAGGATAGTTCCTGACGAGGACATCGAGCCCCAGCCTCTTCAGTAAATTTCCTTTGCCCCCTCCCCCTCCCCAACCACCCGGAAGCCAGTTAAAACTGGGTTCAGTGAAGGGGGTCTGCTAGTGCACCAAGCACCCCACCCTTCCACGAGGAGTCAGACAGGACCCCCAAACCTGCATCCAAACGAAAACCCAACACGAGTGCTCCCAGGCCTGCTGACGTGTGCCGTGACCTGAGTTCACAGAGGTGCCCTCCATCCCCCCAGCGCCACTGCGGATGCCTTACCTCCATTATCTCGTTGTTTTTAATGAGCAGCGACTCCGGGCCACCGTAGTAGAGGTACTGCATGACCAGCTGGAAGAAAGGACACAGCGTGCGAGGCGTCAGCCACACAGACACAGTCATCTTAAAGCTGCACTGAAATCAATTCATTCTCCCAGAACGTTAATAAAGGCCAAACCAACAATAACAACCCCAAGGGCTGTTGACAAAGCACTTCATCCTGTTATCTCCTTTACCTGGGGCTGGGCCGTGGCCCAGAAACCCTGCTCCTCCCTGGAGATCCCTGGCAAATGGCATTTAAACGGGGCTGCCCCACGCCCCCTTCAGACGCTGTCAGCACAAGCCTTTTCTGCAAGGGGGTGAAACGCACCGTCCTTAGGCCGCAGGGCCTGGCTGCGGAATTGTTTTTCTTGGCAGCTGTCGACCTGCATGAAGCCGGGATGCAAACGGCACACAGCCTCATGGAGGCCCCGCGTCCAGGTGCAGCCTCAGCTGCGTCTGGCTCCGGCCCGCGTGTGATGTTAAGCGGTCGTGGAGAGAGGAAACGCAAGGCAGCCTCATTTACTAAACTCCTTCGGTCAGCATGGAAGTGAGGTGAACAGGCCCCTGGGAGCCTCCTCCTGGGTTGGATTCAGCCCGACTTGGCCTATTTCAAGCCACAAATGAGGCTTTTCTTCTTTTATGGGGAAGGCGGGGCGCAGACAAAAGCCCCAGGGCGGGGGAGGGGGGGCGGTGCTGCTCCCTGCCCCTCACAGGAGCTTGAGGCTCCTATGGCCGGCAAGCCTTTCCCATCAGAAGCAATTACAGGCCTCCATTGCTCTGGGCAGTGCTTTGCCCTGGATGGTCTCTTATTCCTCGAATCTGTTGAATTTGTTGAGTGCCTATTGCAAGACAGGTTCTTATTTTAGGAACCTCCCCAGTTAGTCCCAGGCCTAACGGTGTAAGTGCCCCCTTCCGGGCACCCAGAGAGCTGGGGACACGTGCACGTTCCAGCATCTAGCTCCTGCTCCAGACTCTAACGGGCCTCGGCTTCTCTCCTCAGGCCTGGGTGGCTTTTAGGGAAGGCCCAGGTCGCCACCGCAGGGAGGCAGTGAAGAGAACAGGTCTGGGGGTCTGAACCTCAGCTCGGCTGTGATGAGCGGTGGGCGCTGGGGCACATCCTGCCTGTAAGGTGGGGGAAGAGCTACTGGGAGGGGCAGCTGGGAGGGCCCAAGGAGATGATGGATGGCAGTGGTTCTCAGGGTGGCCCCTGGACCAGTAGTGTCGGCATCACCTGGGTTCTGGTAAGACATGCACATTCTCGGGCTGCAGCCCAGGCTGACAGAATCGGGGATTCTGGAGGCAGGGCCCGGGAATCTGCATTGGAACGTGTTTTCTGTGTTTTCACAAGCCCCCTCTGCCCTGTGGGTATTCTGAAGCTAAGGTGTGAGAACCGCCGTAACTGAGAGTGCTGGGGTAATGGGAGGAGGACGAGGCTCCCCAATGCTGATGCCTGGGCCTCGGCTCAGAGTCTGACCTAAATGGTCCGATTCATGGCCTGGTTATTGGGCACTGTCAAAGCTCCCAGGTGACTCTAACATGCAGCCCAGGTGAGAATCACCGGCTTGGAGCCTTACACAGAGGAAGCGCTCAAGGATACCAGTGCTCCCACTTGGGAAGTGTACTCCAGAGCCAGACCTGCTGGTTCAAATCCTGGCTCTGTCACTAACTAGCACTGAGACTAGGGGGCGCATCATTTAAGCTCTCTGGGCCTCCGTTGTTTTATCTACAGGAATGGCCAGAATCATCCAGATAACCACGTGCAAGCAGAGGCCGGTGTCTCATTCACAGTTGGAGCCCCATTAAGGTTTCTTCACCGCCCTCCCCACCCCGACCCTAAAGCCAAGCAGCGGTTTCATGGAAACGTTTAACCCCAACAGCTGCCGCCATTCCAGAAGGGACTGTGGCCACTTTGCTCCCAGTAGGAAATGTGGTGAGGGGTGGGGGTGAGGGGCTGGGAAAAGGAAAAACAGGCACTGGGATGAGTGTGTGTGGGGGTGCCAACTCCCAGGCCCATCCTGGGGCTCCAGCCTCCTCTCTGCTACCCCAACCCCAGGCGGACGGCTCACCCGGGCTGGCTTGGCACCCCTTTCATCCGCTCCCCAATGCTTAGTGCAGCGATTCTCAACCTGTGGCTCGAGACCCCTTTGGCGGTCGAACGACCCTTTCACAGGGATCGCCTAAGACCATCCTGCATATCAGATATTTACGTTACGATTCATAACAGTAGCAACATTACAGTTATGAAGTAGCAACGAAAATAATTTTATGGTTGAGTCACAACATGAGGAACTGTATTTAAAGGGCCAGAAGGTTGAGAACCACTGGCTTAGTGCCAAGTAGTCCATTCAACAGGGACTTAGGCTTAGCAGGGAGGTGGTGTATCAGTTATGCCGCAGAAAATAACCCACTTGATGAGGCTGAGGGTGTCTTGCCTATGGCTATTTGGAGAGAGTTCTTTATTTTGAAGTTTCAACATAACAAGAAAAGTGCACCTCTAACGGTGGAAATGCAGACTTCGGGGCTAGTGCGAGGGCACGGTCTCCCCGGCAGCCCTCTGAACAGCAGGCTCTGAGGCACCGGGCCCAACAGTGGAGGGAAGAACCAGCATCTGGCCTGTCTTCTCCCCATGTGGCTCACACCGGGTGGGCCCAGTGTGTCCTTTCCATCTCTGCTATCCCTGAAGACCCAGCCAATGACTGACAACCCCTTTCCCTCAAGCGTACCCCACGACCTCCCACTTCTGTGCCTCTGTTTATGTTTCTGCTGTTCCTGGAAACCGAGGTTCAGAAAGCTTGGGCGATTTGTCCCAGGTCCCAGGAGGGACACTGCTTTTAAACAGGGGGAAGAGTCGGTTTAGAGAGAGGGATGTAGCATGTGAATCCCGGAACGCAGCCCTGCCTTCCAAGTCCAGAGGAGGACCCGGCTCCGTGACCCTGGTCCCCGCCGGCCCGGCCTCCTGCTCGTCTCTGAGATGTCTCTTCAACTGTCTTAGAATGAGAGTCTCCCGAGGCTTACTCGAGTCTTACCCACCTGCTTACTCTTTCCTTCCAGAATTGAATGGGAGGAAAGCAAGGTTCAGTTCAGACTCTGCCAAGCACCATCCCAGCACCCCCACGTTGGCCTGCTAACCCTGGCTGGCGGGAGGACAGCACGAGGGACCCCGGTCTCCCCTGCAAGCCTGCCCTGAGAGGTGTAAGCAGCCCACCAGGCTCCAGGCCCTGGAGGAGACTCAAAGCTCCAGGAATAGGGCTGCAAAGCCGATCCAGGGTGAATTTCTATGAGCTGCAAGCAGGCCCTTGTGGGGCACAACATATGAATGGAGCATGAAGGAGGGTGGGAAAGGGAGAAGGCACCCCCTCAGAGATGCCACGTGAACCACAACCTGCCGTTCACGGTACGGACGCCCCCCAAATGGGAGAGAGACAAGGTAATGCCACCTGACCTTCGACGAAGGCACCTTCCTTTGCTGCTTACATGAGGCTCCTGGTAGGTTCAGATCAGGGTGACAATGACCTTGGATTCCCTGCAGCCCACTGGTTCCTGGTCGCACTGGGCTCAACCAGTTCTGGGACTTTATCTGCCCACTGTTCCCCTTTCTTAAGCCCTAAGCTTTCCTTCCTATGGCTCCCCAACTTCTCAGCCCTCAATCTTTCAGCTAACACCTCACCCAGGACACCTTCCCCAATTCCCCTGGTCTGAGTTGTCACAGCACATTGGCTCACTCCTCTCTCTCAGCCCCCATCACGTTATACTATAATGAAGTAATTACTCAGAGTTACCCCCTCTGGACTGGGAGTCCCCAGGAGAGGACTGTTTTTTACCCTGTGCCCTGGGTCCCAGCACAGTGTCAGGCACATAGTAGGGGCTCAATTAACAGTGTAGGGGTGAATGCATGGCAAGTGGGAAGGGCAGTGTGAGGAGGGGGCCGGGGTGCAGGAGACTGATGGTTTGTTGCAGCAGCTAATCCACAGGCCAAGGACTGGAGGGAACCACCCGTGCCCTGGGCCCACCCAGCAGGGGCTCACCTGAAAGATGGGGTACTTCACATAGCCGATCTCTATGCAGCTGCTGTCATTTGTTGGCTTGCTGGAGAGCAGCGCTTTGAACCTGAACAAGATCACAAAAAGAGAAAAAGACTCACAAGCACACCCACAGCTGGCAAGAAACTCGGCTCTTTTATCCCCCGTCTCTGACATACAGCAAGGACATCGCCACAGATTTCTTAGTTTAACCCTCCCCTCCCTGTAGGATATCGCAATCCAATCTGAAGTTAAACCTCAACTTAAAAGAACAGTGTTGCTCTAGCTCAGTGGTCGGCAAACTCATTAGTCAACAGAGCCAAATATCAACAGTACAACGACTGAAATTTCTTTTGAGAGCCAAATTTTTTAAACTTAAACTATATAGGTAGGTACATTGTTATTAACTTAATTAGGGTACTCCTAAGGCTTAGGAAGAGCCACACTCAAGGGGCCAAAGAGCCGCAGGTGGCTTGTGAGCCGAAGTTTGCCAACCACTGCTCTAGCTGGTTTGGCTCAGTGGATAGAGCGTTGGCCTGTGGACTGAAGGGTCGCAGGTTCGATTCCGGTCAAAGGCACATGCCCGGGTTGCGGGCTCAATCCCCAGTAAGGGGAGTGCAGGAGGCAGCCAATCAATGATTCTCTCTCATCATAGATGTTTCTCTCTCTCTCTCACTCACCCCTCTCAGTAAAAATATATTAAAAAAGAAAAAGAAAAGAACAGCGTCATTTCTCAAGCAGGTGATTAGAAAAGAGCGAATGCCTTTGAAAACCCCATCTGTCCTGCAGGGCCCGTCACAAAGGCTGCCTCCTCCAGGGAGCCTTCCTTGGATCCTTTGCTGCTCACAATAAAAATATATTAAAAAAGAAAAGGAAAAGAACAGCGTCATATCTCAAGCAGGTGATTAGAAAAGAGCGAATGCCTTTGAAAACCCCATCTGTCCTGCAGGGCCCGTCACAAAGGCTGCCTCCTCCAGGGAGCCTTCCTTGGATCCTTTGCTGCTCATGGAGTTTTCCAATCCCGCCTTCCCCCGCCCAAACAACCGCTGCTCCAGGCCGGCTGGGACCTGTGCCCTTTCTGCTTCTGCTGCATCCTCGGAGCCCGTGCCTGTCCGATGCATCGTGGGTACTGAATCAACATCTGTTGACTCCCTAGGGCTTTCCCATGGCTGACCTTCTGCCTGAGGTTTTAGGTGCACTCTCCTGCCATCCACTAAACTACATGCTCCTTGAGGGTAGAGAACCTGCCACTGGAACACACTGATACTCAATCTATTTAGGAATAAGCTCTGTGTTTCTTTTTTTAAAAAAATTAAACGTTTAATCTTGAAATAATTATAGATTTATAGAAGACATGCAAAGATAGTTCCTGCTTACCCGTCACCCAGTCCCCCCTGCTGTTAACATCCTACACAGCCATGGTCTCTTTGTCCAAACCAAGAAACGAACATTGTCACAATATTGATCTGTTTTTTCAATAGTATCATAACTAAGAGCTATGCCAGAGACGGCATGTTTTTCTTGTGGTGGCAAAGCTGACACGTGGGGTTTGCATTTTGTTTGGGGGGCACCATGGATGCCAGGTTGCTCTCAGGATCCAGGGAATGCTGGTCAGACACATTCCTTAGCAAGAGTCCTGGAAGTAGGTTCTTACCCTGGGGCCTGCCTCTTCCTCATTTCAGCATCACCCTCTCCCTGGCCCAGCCTCACTCCTCCTGGTCAGGTCCTTGGACCACGCGGTTCCACATGGTCAACCCTTCTCATCTCAAACCGAAAGGCAGAGAAAGGGCAGTGGCGGAGCTGGCTGAGGGTGTCAGACTGTTGTCCCCTCCACAGTCAGGGAAGAGGAAGGTTTATAGAAGACATGCAAAGATAGTTCCTGCTTACCCGTCACCCAGTCCCCCCTGCTGTTAACATCCTACACAGACAGCCATGGTCTCTTTGTCCAAACCAAGAAACGAACATCGTCACAATATTGATCTGTTTTTTTCAATAGTATCATAACTGAGAGCTATGCCAGAGACGGCATGTTTTTCTTGTGGTAGAAAAGCAGACATGTGGGGTTTGCATTTTGTTTGGAGGGCACTGTGGGTGCCAGGTTGCTCTCAGGATCCAGGGAATGCTGGTAGGTCAGACGCATTCCTTAGCAAGAGTCCTGGAAGTAGGTTCTTACCCTGGGGCCTGCCTCTTCCTCATTTCAGCATCACCCTCTCCCTGGCCCAGCCTCACTCCTCCTGGTCAGGTCCTTGGACCACACGGTTCCACATGGTCAACCCTTCTCATCTCAAACTGAAAGGCGGAAGAAGGGCAGTGGCGGAGCTGGCTGAGGGTGTCAGACTGTTGTCCCCTCCACAGTCAGGGAAGAGGAAGGCTCACAGGACCCGTGTATTTCGGTGGCTTATGCCCAAGTTCCCTGACATGTGGAGGGCAGGCCTTTCCAGGCGGCTGTGTGTGAGGTTGTGCATGGCTCGAGGCACCTGGTGGAGGGAGTGCAAACCTAATCCACGCTTCTCCCACGCGCTGCTCGAGAAGCTCTCCCCACACCTGCCCTGTCTGCCTGGAGTCACAGGCGCCGAGTCACACAAAGGCGCTGATGTTTATGCCGATGGCTGCCCACTATTCTTTTTTTTTAATTGTAAGAAAAAAACACAGAACATGTCATTTATCATCTTAACCATTTTCAAGTGTACGGTAATGTTGATGTTGAGTATATTCCCATTGTTGCACAGCCAATCCTAGAACTCACCAGGTGCTCATTAAACACTAACTCCCCACTCCCCCTCCCAGCCCCTGGCAACCACAGTTCTTTCTGTCTCTAAGGATTCGCCTCCTCTAGGACCACATATAAATGGAATCAAACAGCATTTGTCTTTTGTGACTGGCTTATTTCATTTTGCATAAGGTCCCCAAGGTTCATCCGTGTTGTAGCCCGTGTCCGAATTGCCTCCCTTTTCAAGGCTGAATAACACATGTGTACACCACACTGAGCTTATCCATTTGGCCACTGATGGACACCTGGGTTGCTTCTACCTGCTGGCTATTGTGAATAATGTTGCTATGATACAATGCACAAATGCCCTGCACTCTTTTTTTGTTAATCCTCACCGAGGATATTTTTCCATCGATTTTTTAGAGAGTGGAAGGGAGGAGGAGAGACAAAGAGAGAAACGTGGACGTGAGAGAAACCCATTGATTGGTGGCCTCTCACACGTACCCTGACACAATCCTTCAGTCTGCAGGCCGATGCCCGATCCACTGAGCCAGACCGGCGAGGGCTGCTCTGTGCTCTTGAATCCTGATTAGGAGAAGATAATCTGCCAGTCTGGTGGAGATACCCCCAGAATTGAACTTCAGAGCACAGTAAAAGCCACAGCCACACTCGTAATTCACCTGCTCTCCAAGCGGACGTACATACCTCGGAGAGGCTGTAAATAACAGCACTCTGTGAGCATAAAACGGTCTTCCTTCCACCAGGAAGGTGACATCAGACATTTCTTTATTGTTGAGGAAATGAGGGTCTGGAAGAGGAAAGGGAAAAAAGGCAGCGTTAGCAGAGAGAAGGGTGAAGCTTGGATTCCAGGGGATGAAATACTCATTGGTGAGGCAGGGACCACACAGAGCAGAATTGATCAAAGGAACACTCACATCACCGAAATCCAGTTTTTCATAGGAAATCGTCATAGCTTATTCGTGATTCGAAGTGGCACTTCCCCACAGAAGACTGACCCACAGCCCGAGTTCAAGTGGCTCCCAGGTGTGAAAGGTAAACACCTGCCCACCTGGCCTCGAAGACTGTCACCGCCCTGGTTTCCCTCCTCTTCCCCAGCTCAGTGTCTTCCTTGCTGGTGGAAGTGGGTGAGAAAAGCTGCCCCCTTGCCACCGTGTTCCAGGGTTTTTGAAGTCCAGGCTCTTCTTTCCCTGGGTCAGTGACAAATGAGCCAGTCCCCTGCCTCATCTCCAATCCTATCCTATATAACAAAAGGCTAATATGCAAATCGACCGAACAGCAGAATGACTGGTCGTGATGATATGCACTGACCACCAGGGGGCAGACGCTCAATGCAGGAGCTGCCCCTTGGTGGCCAGTGAGCTCCCATACGGGGAGTGCCGCTCAGCCAGAAGTTGGGCTCACAGCTGGCGAGCCTAGCGGTGGTGGCAGGAGCCTCTCCTGCCTCTGCAGCAGTACTAAGGATGTCTGACTGACGGCTTAGGCCCGCTCCCGCTGTCAGTTGGACATTCCCCGACGGCTCCCGAACTGCGAGAGTGTGCAGGCCAGGCTGAAGGTCCCCCCTGAGTGCACAAATTTTGTGCACCGGGCCTCTAGTAAGAACAGAAGATAGAACCAGTACTTATGGGGCACTCATGATGTGCCAGGCGCTGTGCAAGCTGGTCTATCACATGTCAGTTCATTCATTTTTGGGGGGTAGGTGTGCATTTGAGGAAACTGAGGCACAGAAAGTTACAGTGACTTGCTCAAGCTGGTGACAGATGGGGAAACCGCCTGGTGCAGCCTCATCACCACCATGTATCTGCTCTTTGCCTCTCCCTCCGGCCTGCACACTCTGGGGAGGAGGCGGGGGCACGCGCGGAACCTTGCCTGTCCTTTCCAGGTCCTTTCCTCTGTCTCTAGCACAGGAAGGCGGTAGAGTATAGTTAGAATGTGGGCTCTCAAGTCAGAAATCTCAGTGACCTTGGGCAAGTTATTGAACCACTTCGTGCCTCAGTTTCTACTCCTGTAAAATGGGAATAGTAGTACCCATTATATGCTGACATCCTAGAGTCATAGTGAGCATTACATGAACTAATTCAATGAAACATAAATTAATGGCTGACACATACTGCCCCTCAGGGTTAGCAGAACATCTAGATGCTCAATTGACACTTTTTGAATGAATGGAAGCATGCTCTGGCCATTGCTTTAGAGCAGCGGTTCTCAACCTTCCTAATGCTGCGACCCTTTAATACAGTTCTTCATGTTGTGGTGACCCCCAATTTAATTGTTACAAATTGAACATAATTAAAGCATAGTGATTAATCACAAAAACAATATGTAATTATATATGTGTTTTCTGATGGTCTTAGGCAGTGATGGCGAACCTTTTGAGCTCGGCGTGTCAGCATTTTGAAAAACCTTAACTTAACTCTGGTGCCGTGTCACATATAGAAATTTTTTGATATTTGCAACCATAGTAAAACAAAGATTTATATTTTTGATATTTATTTTATATATTTAAATGCCATTTAACAAAGAAAAATCAACCAAAAAAATGAGTTCGCGTGTCACCTCTGACACGCGTGTCATAGGTTCGCCATCACGGGTCTTAAGCGACCCCTGTGAAAGGGTCGTTCGACCCCCAAAGGGGTCGCGACCCACAGGCTGAGAACCGCTGCTTTAGAGTCATGTTGTTGGAGCTTGTCAAGGACATCGGGTCCCTGCTTAGCCTGGGGACCTGCTTGTTGTTGACGGGCCCTTCCCCAGGGGTTATAAGGTTTGCCCTGAAACAAAACCCAGCTGCTCCCTGGGTTTAGGCTGCTCTAAAGCATTGAGGGAGGAAACCCACCCCCTGGGTTCCTGGGGACCGACCCCCAGCTATTGGGCCCACTCTGTCTGACTGCACCTTGAACCCCTGGCCTGGCCCCATTTTTGCCCAGACCTTGGACCCAGAACTGGCCTTCCTGGCTGATTCTCCTTACTCAGCCCTCAGCCCCTATGCTTCCCCAGATGGTGGTTCCCCCCTTATATTCTCTGCCATCTCTTCCCATTAAGGAATTTTAATTTAAAACATATTAGAAAAGCATAAAAAAATCAAAATCACTTGTGATCCCACTATCTTCCAACATTTTTATTGCTCCCCACCCCCTGCCCCAAACTTCTAAAACTAACCAGGTAAAAGGCAGTTAGGCTATAGAGGAAGACCTCAGAGTGGACAGCCACTCACTTCTACACTTGCTTTAAAGACTGTTAGCAGTTTGGAGTGACTTTCTCCCTCTTCTCAGCAACCTGCCTCCCTCTGCTCACTCTCTCTCACTCCCACTGTCCACCTCCAACCACCACCCTAGCCTGCTTCCAAAATTGCTAATATCTCCTCCCTTTAGCTCCTTTTACCATTCTCTCCCAGAATTCAATGAGATGGCAGGACAATGTATCACAAAAATCAGGCATGTGCTCGGCCACTGGTCATAGTCCCTGCCACTCCCTACTGTCTTACACTGAGCCCATTTCACTCATTTATATGACTTGCCTGGCCCTAGAGAGATGCCAGTGTAGGACCCTTGTCACTGATAAGTCTCATCTGTCTTTTAAAGTAGGTCCTTAAGGAACCACTACTTGACAACCTTTAGTTATCCTAGCTTGGAATTCTGTACTGAAGACGCAAAACACTACATGTTCCATATTCCATTTATTGATAACTAGAGGCCCGGTACACAAAAATTTGTGCACTTGGGGGGGGGGTCCCTCAGCCTGGCCTGCGTCCTCTCACAGTCCAGGACCCTTCGGGGGATGTCTGACTAATGGCTTAGGCCTGCTCCCCACCTAAGCTGTTAGTCGGACATCCTTAGAGCTGCCACAGAGGTGGGAGAGGCTCCCCCCACCGCTGCTGCGCTGGCCAGCCATGAGCCGGCTTCTGGCTGAGCAGCACTCCCCCTGTGGAAACGCACTAACCACCAGGGGGCAGCTCCTGCATTGAACATCTGCCCCAGATGGTCAGTGAGCGTCATAGTGACTGGTCATTCGCTGTTAGGGACAATTTGCATATTACTCTTTTATTATATAGGATTATACATATATTCTACCTTTTTTCTTTCATATTGTGAGCTTTGAGCCTCTCAGGTCTGCCTTTCTTTTCTTGTTCTAACCCTTGGAATTCCAAGGCTTGGCAAGAAAATGAGGACCTTAAAATTGCTGATGGAAGAAATCTCAGCAGGTTCAGGAGGAAAAAAACTCTTCCTTCCTCTCCTATAGCTACAGGAAAGCAGAATTTATGCTGTGTCATTCAAACAGCCCTGGCAAATATTCGCTCTAACAAGGGTGTCTAGTAAGACACCTAGATGTCAGATTATTGCTACGTGGTAAAGCCTCTTTATTTGATTGGTCCTTATAATTTGTTGCACTTAGAATATCTTAATTAACACCTGTTTTCTACAAGGTGTTAATTACTTGTGGTTTGGGTACATCCTGGTTGGCTCACAGGAATGGGTGTAAAGAACAAGAGACAACCAGTGGCTCAGCAGCTAGTTCTCCATGTAGCAAGAAGTCGTGTCACTGAAATTCACCAGTTATTCACGACAGCCACAGAAGTACTTTCAAACACGTGCATGAATTCAGCCTTTTCACTCATTTAAACTAGCTCACCTGTTTCAAAAGTGGTGGTTTTGCTAAAGAGTAGAATTTTCAGATGCTTCCATTGACCAAATGTTTCCCAGTCTTTGCAGGAAAAGGAGCTGGGAAGCAGGAAAGCCCCCCAATCTCCATTGGAAAAGGAACCCTTCCATATTAAGATATGAAAGCAGCTTTAATATTTTATGACTCCCCGTGCAGCCAGGAGACAGGCCCCTGTAACAGGAGGCTCATGGGTCAGGTTTCAAGGCCGCCGAGTATTTCTTTGCCTTTTTTTTTTCCGGGCCAGTCAACCGGCTGCAGCAGCCCCAGGATCCTCCGAATGAAATCAGTGCCTGATGGAAAGGTTTCTTCTGGAAAATCCCAGAAGCTGAAACCGCAGGAGGATGGGATCACGGCTTCAGGAGGAACCCGGTGCAGACTCCCAGTGCCTGCCTCCTGGGGCGGCCTGAGGATGACTTGAGATAGGGTCGGCCACGAATTGGCTGGGGCGGCTCAATGCAAGTGTCTGAGAAGAATAGAAGCGAGGACTGCTGCTCTGCTGGGAGTCAGGGCATTGGGTCTCCTCAGCTCAGGTATGTTCCCCTTGTGTGTGTGTGTGTGTGTGTGTGTGTGTGTGTGTGTGTAGGGGGGGCGTGGGTGGTCTGGTTCCCCTCCCCTCCTGGCTGCCTGCACTGGACTCCATTAGAGGAACACCATGGCCTGTCCCTGTCCTCTGTTCGTCCCTCCTCAGGGGCCACTGGGGAGAGCTGCCACGCACAGCTCAGGCTTGTTTTATTATTTTTTACTCCAATATTAGTTTTATTATATTTTAAAAAACAACAAAATTTCTACCTATGAGACTCCCCCCCCCCTTAATACTTCCCATTTTATTACATTCAATATTGTGCATTAGTTTCAGGTACAGCGTCGTGGGTAGAAAGCCATGCACCTTACAAAGCAGTCCCCCTGGTACTTCCAGTGCCCACCTGGCCCCGTACATGGTTATTACCCCGTTCCCTGTGCTGTGCTACGTCTCCAGGACTGTTTGGTAACTGCCAGTTTGTACTTCTTCATCCCTGGATGTTTTTCACCCAGTCCCCCAACCCCCTTCCCTCCGGCAACCACCAGTCTGTTCTCTACATCTCTGAGTCTGTTTCTGTCTTGTTTGTTCGTCTATTTTGCTCTTTTGATTCCACATGTAAGTGAAATCATATGGTATGTGTCTTTCTCTGACTAATATATTTCACTTCGCATAACAGCCTCTAGGTTCATGCATCCCGTTGCACATGATAAGACTTTGTTCTTTTTTATGGCTGAGTAATATTCCATTGTCTATATGTACCACAGCTTTTTTAAAAAAAATCTACTTATCTATTGATGGGCACTTGAGTTGCTTCTAGAACCTACCTGTCTGCAGGGTCCAGAGACCTTCTTGCTGCCACTGCCTGCAATCTTTCAATGATAACAAGAAGGTATTGGTGGGTCTCCTCTTCCTCTAACTGAAAGGTTACAGGCAGTGAAAGGTAGATGCTCTGACATACCTTTTCCTAAGGTACAGCCTTCAGTCTCATCACATAATCAAGGTGCTATCCTGACCTCCGCCTGCCTGACTCCAGGACTTATCTTGTCGGCCCTCGAATATTCCCCACCCTTCCTTACAGCGTTTGCTTCTTCCCTGTCTTGAAATCACCAAGCAACACCCCTGGCAGAGCAGGGCCCGTGACACACTCACCCAGGCGCGAGGTCTGCTTCCGTTTGATCTCCGTGAGCTTGGGGATGGGGTAGGGCCCGTAGCAGTGAGTGAAGATGACACACAGCTGCTGGCTGATCACTTCGTTCTGAGGAAAAGAGAGAACAGCTCACCTTGCTGGGGGCTGTGCACAACCTCAGGCCAGATGTTGCTGGGAAACGCGTTCCCCAAGGGAGAGAAGCCCACAGACTTATCTCGGGCTCCAAGAGAAAGCAATCCCCCTGGACATCACTCATCCTGTTTGCCCCGGCAGGCCCTGGAGCTGCTAGCTTGTTTGTCTACTATTTCCATGGGCTCATTGGCAAAAGCTTAATTTGTCATTAAACCCTTTTCTCTTGCTGTAATCATTTCCTACGCATGGGAAAGCAGGTTTTGTAACTCCTAGAATGGAAAATAGGTTTTTACCCCAAACCTGCTTTTATCAATACTCCGAAGTTCTGGAAGCCGCTAATTATCCTAAAAAGCCCAGCAGAAAGCCCTCCTGGCCCCGTGACTGCGTCGCCGTTGCCGAGACTCAGGTGGCCCTGATGCAGCTTCCCTCGGAACTTGATTCTGGTGCTGAGGCCTTTCGGGATCAGGGGTGCTCAGCCGGATCATTTCTCAAAAGAAAGAGGGGGGGGGAGGAGACTTCTGCGGTGCAGAATGTCAGCTGCCCCTGATTGCTCAGGGGCCAAGGAGCCTGCTTCCATGGAGCTGCCACCTGCGCGTTCTTCCTCTTCCCCCTCGGGGCTCGCCGCTGCTCACAGGTCTCCCTCCAACCGCAGGTGCGCAGGAGGGAAGCCACGAATCACAGTGTTGGGGTGCTTTCCATTGAGTGAAGGGGTTGAAACTTGGGGCTTAAAGGGGCAGTTAGATAGAAAGACATTTGCAACATATTTTAAAAGTAGGTTACAACACAGTTTGTAGCCTGTATTTTTTGCAATAAAGCCCCACGTATATATTTAGATGGACAGATCTCTAAGGGGAAGGTCGGGAGAATAGCTACCTTCTGTGAGATTATGATGTTTTCTTTTTAGCTCCTGTGCCCACCCTGCCCAGGGAGTTATATTCTCTGCAACAAACAACTGTTTGTAATGAACCCAACAAATATTATTTTTGACTTTAAAAGATGGGGCTGGGACAGCTTTGGAGTGTTGGTGGTTCAAGCCCTTCGTGAGTCGACTCCTTTGTGCGCCTGAAGCAGGAGGATACAGCTCAGCACATGAAAAGCAGTCCAACCCTTTGATTCAGTGGATGAGATCCCCAAAGGCACCTCGTCACTTCAGATGGATCCTGAGGGGACGCACTCATCTTGAGTGGGAAAAGGGACGCTGCTTTTGAAGAGGAGGCCTTAGAAACAAGGACATGAAATGCTCCTTCATGTAACACCCGCACGGTGATTGCCTCCCTCCCAGCTTCAGGCGGCGGTTCTCCAAGTGTGGTCCCCACGCCACACCATCAGCGCCACCTGGGAGCCTGTTAGAAACGCCCGCCCTCAGGTCCCGTCCCAGACCTTCTGCCCCAGAAATGCTGGGTGAGGGGCCCAGCAAGCTGTCTTTTCACACTTTTTTTAAAAAAAAATATTTTATTGATTTTTTTACAGAGAGGATGGGAGAGGGATAGAGAGTTAGAAACATCAATGAGAGAGAAACATCGATCACCTGCCTCCTGCACACCTCCTACTGGGGATGTGCCCGCAACCAAGGTACATGCCCTTGACTGGAATCGAACCTGGGACCCTTCAGCCTGCAGGCTGACGCTCTATCCACTGAGCCAAACCGGTTAGGGCCACACGTTTTAAGGTTTTTTTTTTTTTTAATCCTCACCTGAGGATGTTTTTCCATTGATTTTTTTTTTTTTGACAGAGGGGAAGGGGGGGAGGAGAGAGAGAGAAACATCAGTGTGTGAGAGACACATCGATTGGTTGCTCCCCGCAAGTGCTTGGCTGGGAATCTAACCTGAGACCCTTTGGTCCTCTGGCCGATGCTCTAACCTCTGAGCCAAACAGGCCAGGGCCATTTTCTGGTGATTCCGATGCTCCCTGAGGTTTGAGAACCACCGGTTTCATGGACTGGAATCTGTCGTGGGTGTGAAGTGGGCCGGGGGCTGTAAATGGGTTTCCTCTGGCCTAAGGCTTTGCCACTCAAATGTGCTCCATCGACCACCAGCAGCAGCAGAATCGCCCGGGAGCCCACATAATGCAGACAATCACCTGAGGCCAATGAATCAGGGTCCACAGTCACATGCTCTGCACACGGGTGTTTGAGGAGCAGAATCCTGGCCCCTAGCAGACGGCATGCCCTAACCCAGTGGTTCTCAACCTTCCTAATGCCGTGACCCTTTAATACAGTTCCTCATGTTGTGGTGACCCAACCATAAAATTATTTTCGTTGCTACTTCATAACTGTAATTTTGCTACTGTTATGAATCGTAATGTAAATATCTGATATGCAGGATGTATTTAGGCGACCCCTGTGAAAGGGTTGTTCGACCCCCAAAGGGGTCTCGACCCACAGGTTGAGAACAGCTGCCCTAATCCTTTGGGCTGTGTCATGAGCACTCCCACTCGTGAATGTGTTACCTTATAGGACGAAGGGGAATCTGCAGGAGTCATGAAAGTGACTGATTGGTTGACCCTAAAGAGGGAGATTACCCTGGGTTATCTGGGTGGGCCCAGTGTAATCACACGAGCCCTTAAAATGAGGTACCCTGCAGGCCTCTCTTGGAAAATGCTGGGTGTTGAACTTGGGTTCTCAGGACTCAGCTGCACAGAACTAAATTCTTTTAGCTTAAAAACCTCACTCGAGGATATGTGTGTATGTGTGTGTGTGTGTTTTAAAATTGATTTTAGGGAGAGAAAGAGAGAGAGAGAGAGAGAGAGAGAGAGAAGAGAGAAACAGCCATTGGTTGCCTCCCATATGCGTCCCGACTAGGGATCGAACCTGCAGCCTTTTGCTGTGTGGGATGAGGAGCCACTGGCCAGGGCCAGAACTGAATCTGTAACACCACAGGTGCCAGGAGTCTCTCTTAAGATGGAGTCTGTGGATGTTGGAGCTGACGTCTTTCCTCCCCTCCTCTGACCCCTCACTGTTCTTCTAAAAAGGTACAAAAACACACTCTTTTCTTTGGAAAGGAGCGCTAGAATTGTCCCCAGGGTCTGCTATAGGTAGCTTAGGCGGGGGTTCTACACAGGGGTAAAAACATGGGCAACGGGACCAGACGGAGCTGGGTGACCTTAGGAAAAGTACTCAGCTTCTCTGGGCCTCAGTGTTCTCTTCCCAAATGAATTACCCGCTATAGTAAGGATTAAATTACCTGCTATGAGGATTAAAAATATAACACATCACAATATGCCATTAGGTTGAACCAAACGGAAGTGCCAATATGTGACCATTTTTGAACTCTCAAAAGAGCAAATTCCCATAATTCAAATTAATCTCTATTTTCCTGGATTCTAAAATATCCTAAAATTACTGGAAAGAAACTCACTGCGATAAACATGCATTTTAAAGACCCATGTCAAATTCAAAAAGATGAAAAAAGCCTGATCTCAGAATCAAGAGAATGTTGAATGTTGCTTTCCAGGGTCATCGGCAGTGAATTCTTTGTCTTGATCAATTCCTCCCAAGACAGGCCCCGCCCCTGTGGAAAGTGCTGGGCTGCCCTGTCAGCTGTGAGCCCCTCTCTGCTGGAACCCCCTGGAAAAGGCGGGGTGGGGTGGGAAGGCTGTACGGCCCCACAGGATTCCCATGAGGTCAGCTTAGCTCCAAGTCTGTCACACACCCTTGGAGTTGTGTACAAGATGAAATTGAACACACTGTGAACTTAAAGTGCTTTTAAATCAGCACCCATTTATTTTTATATGTACCTTCTACTCATGGCAACTGATGAGAGCTTTCTATTTATGGTAGTAATATACTGTTTCCTTTCTAAATACATTTAAGGGAAGGTAAGATGATTTAAAAGAAACATCCTGTTAATAAAAGCCTATGTGGTCGTGATGCCCTCACGCCGTAATGAGCAATCACCAGGAGGCTGCGTGCGCAGTGGGCATGCGTGGGTGGGTGGGGCTGTGTGCATGCATGGGTAGGCGGGAGTTTGATGCGTGCGTGGTGCGGAGGCTGGTCCCGCGGCTCCACACAGCGCGGAGGCGGGACCCTAGGCTCTGGCCTACCTCTTTGGGGCAATCCATCGAGGAGCCCCAGGTAGGTGGGCAGGGCCTACCTCTTTGGGGTGATAGATAGTGGGGCTCCCGCACTGTGAGAGGGCACAGGCCAGGCTCTCCCCCGCCCCAACCCCCCAGTGCACAAATTTCATGCACCGGGCCTCTAGTATGAAATAAACAACAACCAGTGACAATATCCTTTAGGAACAAAAGGGAAATCAGACACTCTGGGATGAAGGACCTAAGAGAACTGGTCACCAGCACGACCCTAGAAGAATGGCTGAAGGAAGGTCTCTAAACGACAGGAAAGGATGAAGGAGGGAGCCTTGGAGCATCTGGAAGGAGGAACAGGGTAAGCAAACATATGGACACATACAATTAGTTTCCTAATTATGTTTGATGGTTGATGCAAAAATTGTAACTGTCTGATGTGGTTCTAAATTAGATGACATATTTAAAGATGGATATGTCATAAATGGAGGAGGGTAAAGGGACATAAAGAGAAGTAAGGTTTCTATACTTCATTTGAACTGGTAAACTGATGAAACCAGTAGATTTTGATATTATGTACATGCCAGAGGCCCGGGGCACGAATTCATACACGGGTGGGGTCCCTCGGCCTGGCCAGTGATTGGGGCTGATCAGGGCCATCTTGCCCAGTCCCAATCGGGGCCAATTGGGGCTGGCCAGCTGGGGGGTTGGGGGGGAGAGGGACCGTAGGAGGTTGGCCTGCAGGAGGAGGTTGGCTATGGGAGCACACTGACCACCAGGGGGCAGCTCCTGCATCAAGTGTCTGCCCCCTGGTGGTCAGTGTGCATCATAGTGACCGGTCAATTGGCCGTTTGGTCACTTAGGCTTTTATATATACAGATAATGCAATGTATCAAGCAATCACTAAAAAAGCTATACAGTGAGATACACTCCAAAAACATTACAGACAAATAAAAAATGAATTTAAATAAATGTTCAGGTAGTCCACAGGAAGGCAGGAAAAAGACAGAGAGATCACACAGAAGACAAAAAATAAGATGGTAGATTTAAGCCATAGAGCATCAATAATTATATAAAATATATATGGTCTATAAATTCTGATTAAAAGACAGAGATCGACAGAGTGGATGAAAAGTCCGACTGCATGTTGTTTATAAGAAACCTTAAATATAATGTATAGGCAAGTTGAAAATAAAAGGATGGGGAAAATATCATACAAACATTAATCAGAGGAAAGCAGGGGCAGCTGTATTAATATTAGATTAAGGAGACTTCAGAGCAAAGAAAACTAGTCGAAGCAGAGAGGGGCATTACATAATGACAAAAGGGTTAATACTCCAAGAAGACACTGCAATCCTAAATGTGTCTGCACCAAATGACACAGCTGCAAAATATGTGAGCTAAAAACAGATAGAACTAAAAGGGGAAGTAGACAAATTCAACAATTACAGTCGGAGACTTTAACACCCCTCTGTCAACTGATAGGATAACTGGATAGGATATTCTATAGGATACAGAATATAGGATGTAGGATACAGAAGAGCTCAGCATAGTCATCAGCCAAGAGGATGTTACTAACAATTACAGAACACCCCACAACAGCAGAAAGCACCCCTTTCCAAGTGCCCACAGAACCTATACCAAGATAGGCCATATTCTGGGCCATATAACAAATCACAAATCTTTAAAAAAAAAGGAGTGAAATAATATAGAATGTGTTCTCTGACCACAATGGAATCAAACTAGAAATCAGTAACAGAAAAATCCCCAAACACATAAAAACTAAATAACACATTTCCAAATAATCCATAAGCCAAAAAAAATCAAGTTTCAAGGGAAATAAAAAATATGCTGAACCGAATGAAGGTGAAAATAAAACATATCAAAAATTGTGGGACACAGCTAGGGTAGAGCAGAAAAATGTAGAGTATCAAGTGCATATAGAAGAAAAAAGGAACAGTTCCAAATTGATAGTCTAACCTTCTACCTCAAGAACCTAGAAAAAGAAAAGCAAAATAAGCCTACAGGATCTGACCGCAGGACGATCACCCATGCTTGGAGAATGCCTGACTTCACACAGCCACGGAAAGTTTATCTTTTCCCCCCTCTGCCCTGCATGGTGATGTGTAATACCACATCTCACCAGTAGGGGATGCCATTGAACCCCCATTTACTGTAAGAGCAAACCTGACTGGGTGCAGTCCTCCTAGCTAGCCAGTGATGGCGAACCTATAACACGCAAACTCATTTTTTTTGGTTGATTTTTCTTTGTTAAATGGCATTTAAATATATAAAATAAATATCAAAGATACGTCTTTGTTTTGCTATGGTTGCAAATATCAAAAAATTTCTATATGTGACACGGCACCAGAGTTAAGTTAGGGTTTTTCAAAATGCTGATACGCCGAGCTCAAAAGGTTCGCCATCACTGTGACCTAGACTGCCCCTGCCCCATCCCTGGGTCCCCCCACCCTCCATGATCAGTACAACTGCTGGGAGCAGGCTCTGGTCCCCACATCCTGGCAAAGGTCCCTCCCTTCTTCCCACCCCCAGCTGCTGCTGTCGGAGCTGTTGGCTGCTCTCAGAGGGTAGGGGCTGGGCTGGGCAGGAGGGGGCTGGTGGGTGCTAGCAATGCTCTGTTTTTGGTCCGGCTGCTCATCACACAGGTAGGTTTACTTTGTGGAAATTCCTTTGCCTCTAGAGTTACGATTGGGGCACTTTTCCGTATGCATATATGTATGTCCTATTAAAAACGATGTTTACTTAGAAACCCCAGAGAGCAGGTTTACTTAAAACACAAGATGCTTCGGTAATCTCTGGAATGCCCACTATATCCTGAAGAAAGGAAGGAAATTAAAAACCCGACACCCATTAGAACACCAGACCCTGGGAACCGAACGAGGAACGTCTGTCCCGAAGGTGGAAGGTGGTCTCTTAGGTAATTTCAGGTGCCGTCCTTTTTTATTTATTTCCAAGGTGGGGGGTGAGGGGCAGGGAGCATTTGGTTTTGAAAAGCCTCCAGCAGGTTTCACTCTAAATAGAGCTGCCAGGCTCATTACCGGAGGCCGCACACCTGCTCCCACTTCAGGTCTCAGCGGGGCCTGACATCAAGCATAAATCTAGCCCGAGGGGGCCCTGGACGCTGGGCTGGAGACCGTGCTAATGAGAAGACCTAATGGGCCTTGCTCGGGACCGGGCCACTGCTCCAGGCTCAGTGAGCAGGCAGGACGCCGAGTTGCTGCTGCTTTACTGTGGGGCCACCCCGCTGCCGGCAAAGGCACTCCCTGGTCCCCTTGTCCCGTCCTTCTCTCGGGCAGCCCGTGGGCCCAGCCTGGCGGGGGGGACCCAGGTTGCCTTCCTGGTTCAGAGGCCTGTTTCCCCTGCGACGTCACCGGTGACTCACAGGGGCCCCAGAGCTCCACAAAGCCTGATCTGGGACTGAGGGGGAAGAGGCTGGCGCCGGGGCCAGACCGCCTGGGTTCAGTCCCAGCTCTGCTACTTAGCGACTCTGTGATCTCGGGCACGCCGGTCAACCTCTCCGTGCCTCAGTTTCCCCATTTGTTAAATGGGGGATAAGAGCAGTATCTGCTTCAAAAGTTGCCTGTGAGGATTTAACTACATATTTTAGCTTAAAGAAAAAAAGTCCTCCTTTCTGTCTCGAGACAGTTCATTATAAAAAGGGTTCCGAGGTCAAGTGAGTTTGGGAAACGCTTGCTTGCCTTTGTGAATTAGGCTCTGCCAGGCTCTGCAGTAGAGAGATTGGGATAATCCAGTGTTACCCTGAGGAGAGGAGCTGGCATTCAGCTGGGTACATGTGGTTTTCAGGGGCTCCTTGGTGCCGGGGCTGCGCTGGGTGTTAAATATGTTGATGTCATCCCTGCTGAGGGGCTGGTTGCTACAGAACAGCCCTTGGGAAGCAATGGAGGCGCCACATCCCCTGGCGAGGCCGTCGTTATGATGGGGACTATAAAGCGCTCACTCAGTGGCAGGGACAGTGTGAAGGGCACTGACTCATTTTCTCTTCACAGCCAGCCTAAGAGGTTAATACAAGCACTGTCCCCACTTTCAGGTGGGGAAACTGAGGCAGAGAGAAGTTATGTAACTTGACTAGGGTCATAAGGCAAGCAAGCGGCAGAGCCAGGCTTGAACTCCTACAGTTTGGCTCCAGAGCCCGTGCTCCCAACCACTGTGCTATCCCGTCCCCTGAGGCCCACTGAGAAGCCCTGGGGGATGGGATGGTTGGTGCCCAAACTCCTCAAAGCCTCCCAGGCAAACTGGTCCCGCGCCCCCCCCCTCCCCCGTGCTTCCACAGCCAGTGGTGGGGCTTTTGCCACCCCTCCCCCTGACCTGGCCTCTCCACTCCATGGCTGGCTGGGGACCAGGCACACCACAGCTGTCCATTCTCAAAGTTGTCCTCCCCCCAGCCCCCCATGCCACATGGCCCACTGGTGGGTACTGGGTGTCTATATGGTATCATCAAACAAGGCACCCCACAGAGATTTTTAAGAACTGACCACACAGTAGCCCCAGGACTGGACTGGTTTTCCAAGGGTTTGCACCATTTCCCTTCAAGGCAGGTCCCGGCGGGAATTGGGAGGTCCATGAGGAAGGGGTGAGTCTCGGGGTCAGCGCAGGGTTCATTGGCTTCTGTGTATCTCAAAAGCCTTCCCCAGGGCCTGTACCCCATTCATCTGGGGCGCTGCGCTGTGTCCCTCCTCCCGCTGGATTCTATCTGCCTGTCAGGCCTGCCCTAGTCCCAGCACCTCAGCACACCTTCCCTGACCGTCTGGCACCTCACCTCTCGGGGCCTGTGCCATTGTTTCATAAACCACCTCAGATGCCCTCGGGCACACATGCTGGTATTCTCTCACCAGCTTTTGTGTAAATTCCCTGTGGCCAGGACAGATCTTACTACTTCATCCATGTGCCTAAGTGCCTTGGAACCTCACAGGGGCTCAGCAAAGCAGCTGCCACACAAATGACGGCACAAGTGGCTTTAGCCAGTTGGGGTACACAAGCCACCAGCCGCCACGACCACAGGGAAGGGACCCCTGAGATGGGGAACCTCCTGGCTCTCTGCCGACGGCCCAGCGGCATCAGACCCCTCGTACCTTGCTGGCTTTCAGGATCTCGAACATGAGGGGCAGGCCCTGGGTGATGAGCTCCTCCGTGTACTCTTCCTCCTGGATGGTCTTGAACTCCTTCAACAGGCCCTGGATGAGGGGCCTGCGGTGCTGCTGGAAGGCGATCCGCAAGGACTCCAGCCACGTGTGCAGGGTCCACGGGACACCTGGGGGGAGGGGAGAGGGGAGGGCAAGGCAGAGAACAACCAAAAGAGAAGGCGCGTTTTTATCTAAAACTTGGCCTTTCCCCAGGACGTTACCCAATTATGAGACCAAGAGACAGGCTTGCGATGAATAGAGCCAGTGTTGACCCCCCACCCCCCCAAAGACTTGCAGAAGTTGAAATTAAAGGTCATAATTCAATTCCCTTAAGTACGGGTGTCCATTTCTTCATGCTACTCATATTATCAGGGGCTGCATTTTACAACCTATAATCATGGTGGAGAATACTGGAATCGTTATGCACAAGGCTCTGGCCTGTGACATACTTCTCAGCACTGACTTCATTTGTCTCCATCCTCTCCACTTTCTGGGGAGGGAGATGCTTGTGGGGGGGGCCGAGTCTTGCCCAGGATTGGATACCACATCCGTGCCCAGGCGAGAGCTGGGAGCTGGTGAAACCCACCAGTGAGCTAAGATGGATACTTCCACCCGCATAAGGAGACTCGGAGGGTATGGCTGCTGGTCCCCGTGCAAAACTACATTTCCACCTGCAGCCACTTCATCGGGCTCCTCCCGCAGCAGGAGCCTCTCCAGCAGCTGATTGCTGTGCTGATTCCCCCCTCTCGTGGGGAGAGAAGCAGACGTCTTGCTCCTGTGTACAACAAGCGACCTTTCTGACTGCTTCACTATGCTAAACAGGCCCTCGGGGCCGGGGCATAGCCGCCCCACATGCTAAACAGCCACTGTGCGAGAGGCCCTTTTCCAGAACAGCACAGGGGCCCCTCTGCAGGCCCTCAGGCTACAACCTGAGTTTAAGGCCCACGCGAGTCCTGCTATTCCCATGCTGGGCCTATGCCACTAGATTGGGAAGGCCAGGCTAGCCTGTCCCTCAGATGCACGGAGGAGGTGGCCGTGGGCTAGCTCCATCCAGGAAGAGCCACCCCAAAGGCTTCCTGAGGGGGAGCCCTGGTCAGGAAGCCTGTCCTCACTCTAGCCGCTGCCCGGCCGCAGCTTCATGGGTCTGGGTGCTCTATGCACCCCAACCACTGGGAACCACCTGGGATGCTTGTTAAATATAAAGATTTCCAGCCTTTACCCATCCAGACCCTAGACAGCAGAGCTTCTGGGTGTAGGGCCTGGCAATGTGTATTCAGACAAGCTCCCAGGTGATTCAAACTCCTAACTTCCAGGGTCCAGAGTTTGGGAATCATGGAAAGGTGACCTGAGGACGGGGCTGGCAGGATGCTGCTGTCGATGGGGACAGTGTGGGACTCTCAGCATGGAAGTGCTCCCACCAGCGAAGGAGAGGCCCCCTGGGCCTGTGTGTGTGTGTGTGTGTGTGTGTGTGTGTGTGAGTGGTGCTGTGCCCAGGGCAGAGGGTGCCCACACTGACCGATGCTCCTGATGTCAATAGTGTGAGCCGGGCAGTGGTGCTGTGCCCAGGGCGGAGGGTGCCCACACTGACCGATGCTCCTGATGTCAATTGTGACATCCACGTAGCCATGCTCAGCGCTGTGATACATGGCCTCCCTCAGGGCTCTCAGTTTGGCCTTGCTGTTGCGGCTGGCGCACAGGGGGGGCGGGGCTGTCTCCGCCAGGTCTGTCCCCTCGGCCAGAATCTCCTCCAGGGACAGGATATCACTCTTCTCCTTCTCTGGCTGGGCGAGCAGTTTGCGGAACACGTTCCTGTCAATCATAAACCCAGAGAGGAAGACACTCAGAGGTGGGGGAGGGCTTTGCCAGGGCGGGGACGGGTGGGGACCACTCCCTGGGACAAGGGAAGGGGACGGGACCAGCTCGGGGTGGCGGGTTTCAGAGTCCTGACCACGGGCGCTCTGTTCTGGGGGTGGAGGAGATAGTGGGGCGTGGCCGGCCGTGCTTCCTCAAGGACAACCAGGGAGCTAAGTGTTTGCCTCAAGTACCTAGAAGGCTCTGGAACCCGTGATTCTGCTTTACGTGGGGTGATGTGTAATACAACCGATGGGATAAATCCTGAGGGAATGGTGGACGGGAGGCGATCAAACAGGAGGTGATTTATTCTTTCTCAACGGATTCTTCTCACTTCGCTTCCCAGAGGGGATGCATGTCTGCGGTGGAAGCTGGCTGGGAGAGGACAGAACAGCCAGTCCGGGCAGCTGTGTGCAGCATGAGGCTGGCCCTCGGCCGGGAGCGGACAGTGAAGGCCACGCTGGCCGGGCTGGGGCCTGCACTGCCTCTGGGCCCCACATCCAGAGAGGCGGTGGGTCTGGGGCAGGCCTGGGAATCTGCATTTTTAACAAGCACCGCTCGGGGCCTGGGGCTCTGGCCCGCCCTAGCCTACCTGTGTCCGTGGGCTGCGGCCTGGCTGAAAGAGTTCATGTCCCCCTGGGGGGTTGTAGAAATTCCATTCCTGTGCATGGTTCCTATCAAGGGGTCCGCACCTCGCTCCAACAGCAAACTAACCAGCTCAAAATTGCCTGCAAGCCCAGAGAAGGGGTTTTATAAGCGCATAAAGCAAACAGAGTCGCAGGCACCCCCGCGGCCGGGGTGGTGGAGGCCCTCGGCCAGGGCGAGGATGGCACCTCTTACCCACGGCGGCTGCGAGCTGCAGGGGCGTCTCCGAGTAGTTCTCCTCGCCCTGCTCCACAGAGCCCTCGACCTTGGCCCCGGCGTCCAGCAGGAGCTGCGGAGGAAGAGGGGCCACGGAGATGTTTAAAGGACCCGCGCTGCGAGGGGGCGTCAGGAAAACTGGTGGAAATCAGTGCCATGCCAATGTTCCTGCTCTCCTCTGGGTCTGTGACCACGGGCCTGGGGCCAGGGAAGCTGGGCCTCGAGGGGGAACTAGGAGCTGCTTGGATCTACTAGAACCTGAGCTACTCAGTGTGGGGTGCAGGCCAGCAGCGGGGGCACCTGGGAGCTGGTGGGAAACATGGCCCTCGGGCCCGCCCCAGACCCACTGGACAAGCGTCTGCATTTTTAACAGGCTCTCCAGGTGACTGACACGTACATGAATGTTTCTAGAAGCCCCTGGAACCAGGGGCTGGAAGACTCCCTGTTTGGGTTGGAGAGCATTAATGTGGCCTCTTGGAATCACAGATCGAGAGTTCTGGAGAGCGCCCGGGCCAACCAGGGCCAGGGTCCCGGGGAGCTCCGAGGGCAGGTCAGCAGAGGCTGTGTCCTGGCCAGCAGGCTCCATGCGGCAGCGTGAGCTTCCCAGAGCTCTGCCTCACGGGACTCAGTTCTGTGCCTTCCCTAAGCAATTCTGTGCTTTTTAAAAATGGAGATCCTGTCCATGCCGGATCTCACTCACAGTGAATGTGCTGTTGCTGATGTGAACTGGGCTGGGCTGGGGGGGACCTGCTTGCTTTATCCCTGAGGGCGCAGCCAGGAGGGGGCTGCACGTGTGGCTTTCTGTGACTCGTGCACCTGCAGCGGGGAGGAGGCCTGACTTCGGTTTGGCTTTGCTCGGCTGCCCACTGCGCCGACTCCGGATTGAAAGGCCGGGGATGCCGCTGCTTGTTAAAGGATGGCATCTGCGTCTGCCGGGCCACCCTCCGCCCCTTCTTCCTTAGACTCCTCTACAAGGACTGGACTGCGCATGACGCTGTACAGGCAGAAGCCAGTGTGGCACGTCACACGCGCAACCTCCTGAAGCATGGCTTTGGACCTGTCTTCGGGATCCCCACACCCTAGGAAACGACAAAGGATTCCCGTGGAATCCCAACGTTGCCCAGTGGTGCCTCTCACACGATTCCCTGCTCTCCATTCATCCTCAGAGGCTTGGACCACATAAAAGGAGGCGAGTTCCTGATGGACCGGCTGCTCGTCTCCCTTTTCTGATGCCGTGAAGACCACGTTTAAGACCTAGAATGTACTGGATGGCTAGTCAATGAACACCAACTCTACAACAGCCAGAAAAGGTGCAAGCAACATATGCCCATAGGACCTCAGATGAGGACGTCTCTCCATGCTTGGGAGCTTTCAGCAGACACATGCGAAGGCCCTGCTCTAGGTCTCCTGGATCCGTCTCAAGAAGTGGGATCCAAGCAAGTGTCTTTTGGAACCGTTGCCTTGGCAACTTGGATGCGTCTTTCCACTGGCTGGAAACCACTAGACTCTACACAAACACCAGGGTCACACCTCAGGGGAGGTTCCAAGGTCTCACACCAGCCAAGTTTTGTGTTCATGTTACGACAAGTAAAACGAACCAATCCACAAAACCACAGCTCAGGCCCCACCCCGGAGCGACTGGGAACAACTTCCGTAGGTTGGCCACTGTGTGTTGTGTGAGGCTGCATGTGGGTAGGTGATAATTTCATATTGGCTAAAGCTGGGCCATATAGATCATTCCATATAATATTTCCACTCATATGATATGCATGTGCTATATTCAATTGCAATGAACCAATATGAATGTTTTCGTGACTATGCATGCCGGGAGAGGTACAGATTTGCATAATGAAAGCGGTAAAATTAGAGGTCAGGTGTGGATAGGGAAATACGTTAATACCTGAACTACAGGAATATGTCCATGCAACACAGCAAAAGTCAGAGCCGTCCAATGGCGGGTCTCGGGGTGGACGGATGGATATTTATGAGGAGTACTGACAACCTATAAACAAATTGAAGTTATTTTCAGAATGTGACCTTCACAATACTTAGACTAGCAGAGCTGACCTATCTGTGGCTGGGCACGTGGGAAAGGCGTAGAAAGGATATCCTAGGCGGTGCCTGGGGAAGTGTTGGTGATGTGGGTGGTGAGGAATAAGGACTCCTTTGCTTCACATCTGAAAGCGATTAAACGAATGACCTCTGACCACCGCTAAGGTGCCTTGGAGAAGGTGTAATGGTGGCTACAACGAGCCAGCTCACCTGCCTGGCTCCTCTCTCTGCTGCAGGAAAGGTGGTGGTTCTGAGATCTACAGGATGTCAGTGTGAGATGCCACTGCCATTTCACCCACGCCTTGAGGGGACATTCTCGGTGGCAGCAAACCCCAGGCAAGGGGAGGTCTGCTTCTAGCTTTTGAGCCAGGGAAGCCCACCATTTGATGGAGGAGTGGCACCATCTGGTCACAGCTCACCCACGATGACCTCACTCCACTCTTCTGCTGCCTTCCTGGTTGACAAAGGCCCTCATATTTCTGGAAACTGGGCATAAAAACTTCCCTGAAAGCACCACAAATAAGGAATCTGATACTGGTCTTTTGATATGGGGATCTCAAAAACACCCCTGGCCACAAGACAGGTGTCTGGGCAGCTGAAGGTTGGGGTCCTGCAGGACTGGCACCCACACATGGTTTTCCCGAATATTCCTGGGGCCACATCACCGAGATGCCTGTTTCATTCAGAGGCGCTGAGTTCACTCATCACCTGCAGGAGAAGCCTGGAGCTGGGAGCCGTGGGTTGGGCTAGGGAGGACCAGGGAACCCCACCAGGAACCCAAGCTGGGGAGCCCTCGCAGGGTCTGCACAGTGCTTATGGATGCATAACAGGGGAGAAAAATCCTTAATACTTGAAACTTGTATGATCCAAAATGGGATCCCAAACTATGTCTATTGACTGCTTTCCTCAGATGAATATAAAACTCACTTAAAACCCCCCAAAGCAAATAGAAAAGCCCCCCAAAACCCAGAGTACTAAATGACAAGAGCATCTAATTTTGACCTAAAAAGGCTCCCCAGGGTTGCTGAGTTAGGACTGTGGCATACCAATTTCCCCAGTTTCCAAGGCTGCCAATATCTGGCTGCTGGAGAGAGTGGGTCTTAAGACAGCACAGAACATGGTTAAAAAAAAAAAAAAAGAAGTGTGATTTCCCCTATTACAACCCCCGGCAGGGAAGGAAATCAATACCGAGTCCCAAACTTGTGCTAGGTCCTCTCTGTATTTATTTCTTCCAACAACGCTCAGAGTTGGGTGTGATTATTCTCCCATTTTGCAGATGGGGACAGCGAGGCTCAGAAACCACCTGCCCAAGCACAAAAGCACGTCACCAAAGCACAGGACAGTTTCAGAATTTGAACCCGTGTCAAATTCCAAAGCCTGCTGGGGTGTGCTTTCTGCTCCAGCACACTGCCTCAAGGAGCCATGTGATTCGCTTTAAGACCTGTGGCTGCAACTCAGCCAACCAGGTGCGCCAATCAGGATTCGGTGGGGGAGGGGGAGCCACGCCTCAGCTCTGGGACAGGGCCCAGCTTTGCAGTGCGCAGAGGGAAAGGGCTGGTGGCTCAGGAGAGCGCTCTCTGCTCTGATCCCAGAGGGAACGGATGACAATAAGGATCAGAGGCGATACACCTGAGCCAAGTAAAAGCTGGTGCGCCTTGTAGCTTCGTTGGAACATACATGCTCCTTGGAGTTTCTCAGGGCTGGGGCCTTAGGTGGAGGAAATCCATCCGCTGGTCTGACCGCTTTACTGGACGGAGCGCCCTGCCCTCAGCAGTGGCTCTCAGGAGAGAAAGGCCCCCCCCCCCTCTCTTGGTTCACCTTCCCCCGGGGATGCCAGGCCGAGGGGCCCTGCAGCCCCCTGCACCCTCACCTCCACATTCAGGTCAGCTCCGGCATCCAGCAGCATCTGCACCATCGCCTCGTCCCCACGGACGCAGGCGTACATCAGGGGGGTCATGCCCTGTGGTGAGTTAGAAACCAGAGAACGGAGGTTTACCAGGTGGCTGTGTCACTTGCTGTTAACATGGAAATTCTTACTTTTGCTTAGAAGGCTATCTTTGCACTCAAAATCTGGCATTAAAAAAAAATAAACAGCCCTAAGACTCCTAAGGTCACAATCCTCCATAGTTTGAAAACCAAAATGGAGGCAAGAAGGGACCATAAATTGTCTTTTTTTTCTTGCATTAATCGTTGCTTATGTTGGAGGATTTTCCTTTGTCTGTCTTAGGGTGCAACAGACCTGGGAGTGTTTGCTAATACAAATGGCTGTTTTCAACTTTCTGGGTTCTGCAGCATCAGCCGCTAAGCTATCTAATTGACAAACACGGTTTCCTTGACATTTTCTCTTTCTCAATATAACAAGTGTCATCTTTACTCTATACAAGATCCCGGTCGGGGTCAAGGGAAATTGGATATCTCTGAGCACACCCCCAGTGTTGACATCTGGTTTGACATTACCATTTACAAGCGAACAGCAAGCAAATGAGGAATGGCTTTCAAAAATTCCTGAAGTATTTGCCCATGACTCCTGCTTAGTATAAACAACATATCCCAACCAACAGAAGGAAGGGATGGATTTTTCAATAAACAGTGTTGTGAAGGTGGGAAAATATCCGAGTAAGAAGAGCCTTATCTTACACCATCCACTAAAACCGTTTCTAGTTTGATTAGCGATATCGGGACAAAATTAAAACCATAAAAGTCATCTAGGCACAAAAATAATAAAAGAATCGCAAAGGAAAATCATTACAGCACTGAGGACATGAAATTGAAAAGATAAACAAAACGAAAAGGTAAGCAGTACATGGAGACATATCTGTCACATTATAATAAAGGTCATATGTCTAATATGTAAAGAGTTCTTCCAAGTAAAAAAGAAAGACAGTAAAGCTCCAGTGAAAACCAGGCAAAAGGTAAGTAAAAGATTCACAGGGAACACAGATATATAGTTGGAGGGTGTGTATAGGAAACAAAGTCTCTGGAATAGTAATTTGAGATAAAAAAAAAAAAACCTTCAGAAAGGTTGATGAGTTTGAGCCACTATTTCCACTCTTAAGAGTTTCCCTAATGAGACAATCAGGGATTTGAACAGAGATTTGTCTAAGTTTATTTAGCTCAGCGTTATTGATATAAGTGATTAGAAACAACCTAAATACCCAACAACAACTGAGTGTGGTTAAGTGAATAAATAATATGACCATGTTATGTAGCCATTAAAAGGGACTAAAACTATTTAATGATATTGCAAAGTACCTTTCAATGTACCTTAGTGTCAGAGGCCTGGGGGGACAGCTGCCTGTCTCAGAGGCTCCTCCGAGGGTCCCCCAGAATGACTTTTGTGCATCTTAAACGTACCCCGAAAGTTTGGTGAAAATTTGTCTTGACTTGTTCTGTGAGGCAGTAACAGGCCGCTGAGCACTAATTTTAACCATGCTGGAAAAAGAACTTGAAGGACACATACTAAATATAAATAGGATGGTTATCCGGGTGAGGGAATGATTTCCTTTCTGGAATAGGCCTATTTTTCTCTCTTTTCCATTTCAGCTGCAATGATCACGTGCAACTTCTATAATGATGAACAAGGGTATTTTTATGTTAAAAACTAAACTAAAAAAAAAAAAATCACCCCAAGTCACCCGTAGGGGGAGCCTCTGTCCAGTGCCTGCCCTGTCCATCTTGCCATGGGGCAGCGTTCGTGGTGAAGGTGGGGGTGCGCGTTCAGACACCCAGAGGACCCTGTACCTGTTCGCTCATGGTGTTGATCCCATCGGGCCCCAGGAGCGACACCGCCTGCTTCACCAGATCCGTCCGCCCGCAGTTCAGCATCCGGAAACCCAGGTCCTGCTTAAACTTGGCTTCGATGGCTACTGCGTCCAGCTTCCGAGAAGCAAAAAAGCAGTCGTCAGCCCTAAGGGAGGGAGAGATGGTCAGCGGGGTGCGGCGGCCTCCCCAGGGACGGGCCTGGAAGGCCACCAGGGTTAGGCAGCACCAGGAGACGTTGCGTTTGCTTTTCATGTCCACTGCCCGTTCCTGGGCTTTAGTTAGCATGTGGACGTCTTGACCCTTTGTCCTTTGTAACTGCTGTGGATCTGTCCTGTCCTCTGTGTTCCTTCACGCACGGAGCAAAGTATACTCTTGGCTACTATTTACTGAATGTTTACTGGGGGTAGGCACTATGCTAAACTCTTCACATGGATTAATTCATTTAATCCCCACTCAACCCCAAGAGGTAAATACTATTTTAAACCCTCTTTTTTGAAAAAATCCTCACCCGAGGATATTTTCCCACTGATTTTTAGAGAGAGTGGAAGAGAGAAGGAAAAACATAAATATTGATGTGAGAGAAACACATTGATTGGTTGCCTCCTGCACGTGCCCCTGACTAGGGCCCTGGCGGGGAGAGGGGGAGAAGTCTGCAACCCAGCTGAGGTATGTGCCCTTGACTGGAATTGAACCTAAGACCCTTTGGTCCTCAGGCCAATGCTCTATCCACTGAGTCAAACTGGCTAGCTCTTTACCCCTCTTTTATCCATGGGGAAACAGACACAGATAAAGGCCTTGCCCAAGGCCACAAAGCCAGCAAGCAAAGGTGCTGGGATGTGAACCACGGCAGCCTGGAGAGCCCGCCTGGGTATCTACTGTGTCCCCTTGTCCTCCCATCATGGCACAGGCTATTTGCCCCTTCCCTCATTTGCCTTTCCCTACAGGCTGGGGACTGCGGTGAGAGCAGGGACCCTGTCTAGCAGGTCTGCATCCCCGTGCCAGACAGAGCACAGCACATGGAGCTGTTAAAAATGTTAGCTGAATGGACACAGGACAGGTGGATTCTCTACATTCAGAGGAGAAGCAGGGCAGAGAACTGGGAAGGTGGGATGCGATCACAGATAGTCAGGTGCCTCAGAAATGAACCCAGGCAGCCAGGCGCAGCGAGCGAGAGGTTAGGGAAGGTGGGGAGAAAAATCAACGGATTCCAGAAGGTGATGCAAACTCTGCTTGTACAGGATGCCACTTCCTTCCCACCGTGAACTGATCAATCACCTATGGAATCAAATCTGCAAGCATTTATTGAGCAACTGTGTGTGACAAGCTCTGCTCTAGGGGCTGAAGACATGTCATTGTCCCTGCCCTGAGGTCCACTGCCTGGAAGGGGAGAGGGTACAGGCACTGGCCATGAAACCGCATGTGGTACATGCAGTGCTTGAGGGATCGGAGACATGCACTGAATCGAGCCTCAGGGATACAGCAAGGCTGCCTGGAGGAGGTGACCCCTGAGCTGTGTCTTAAATAAGGAAGTGGTAGGAGAAAAGAAAGCAGAAGAACTCTGAGCTCGTATGAGCAAAAGTGTGGCGATGAGGCGTGGCAGGTGAAGTGAGGGTAGGAAGGTCCGAGTGTTTCTGGGGTCTAAACTTGCAGGCAGAGTGCCAGAGCTGAGGGTGGGATTTGATTACAGGGGAACTTGACTTGATTCTCAAGGCTCCAAACTTTACCTTTAAGTGCCATTGAAAGTTTTGAAGCTGGCAGGGGACTGGCATGGTTGGAAGGCCAATTCTGGGAGAGAATAGAAGATGGATTTGCAGGGAGCCGCCCCTAGAGGTAAGAGCCATGTCAGTGCTAAATGAACTAGCTCAGTGGTCGGCAAACTGCGCCCCCTTGAGTGTGGCTCTTCCACAAAATACCATGTGCGGGTGCGCACGTATAGTGCGATTGAAACTTCGTGGCCACACTCAAGGGGCCAAAGAGCCTTATGTGGCTCATGAGTTGCAGTTTGCTGACCACTGAACTAGCTGAATGGATGAAGAAGCTGCCAGTGACAAAGAGACGTGACAAGGGGCTGCGTGAAGGCTGTGGCTGCTGGGATGGAGCAGGCGTCGTGGGTTCTGTCTTCTCCACATGCAGGTGCCCATTTCTCAGGTGATGGCCCCGAGGCTGGCGGACCACACACTTTCATCAGCCGCAGTCAGCGCTGTCCCAGACCCCCTCCTGCCCCTCCTCTTGCCAATCCAGAGGGTGGACATGGAGGAAAGGAGGCAGGCTTTCAGCATTCCTGGTCCCATTCCTGCTTCTAACTAACCCACATGGTGGCATAGGAAGGATTAGGTTTGTGAGGGGATTATCTCCTTTTTTACCCTTGGAAGAAATGAGAGGGGGTACTGTTTATGGTACTCAGACACCTGCTCAGCAGTAAGGCTAGGTTCTGGGGAGAACACCAGAGGGGTGAGCCACAGGGAGCCTCAGGAAATGGGTGGGGCGGGTGTATACGTGACCCTTCCTTGGGTGCCTGATATATCGTCCATCTCTGCTGACACAGGAGCCTTGGCCCAAGGCTGTCCTGAAATAGGAACCCTGCGGTAGGTAGGATATGTTAGGCTCTCAATAGGTGACACTAGAATTCTGCTTCTGGCCACCAGGGGGAGCTGATGCAGCGAAGATTCCAGAGGACCCTGAGTTTGGGGTTGATAGGGGGTCTAGTCTGTATACATGCTTCAGGAACCCTGTCAAGTCAGGCTCCAAGGCGCAGGGAAGAACTAAGAAAGGTATTTAGGGGACCATAGTTGACCAGGATCCTGGACGCCAAGATGAAAGATCACCTCAATGCTGCCGGAAACTCTGCAGGGAAGCCTGAGAGCCCCCCCGCCCCCCGCCCCCCTAGGTTGGGGAGAGATGAAGGACTCCGGGCCTGGCCTAGACCATGGCATCAGCATCCAAGTTCGAACTTCTGGGGCACAGAATGGGGCTATGCCATAGGGCCCAGTTTATGGGACTTTGGACTTGGGACTCATTGCTAGGGCTTCAGATTTAGCCAATAAAAATTACTTTAGCAAATATTGCATGGGACAAACTGGTACTAAGACATTATTCACTGTTTATCTGAAATTGAACTGTTTTGTCTGGGAATGGGCAGAGCCACTTGCCATGACCCTAAAAGAACACGAGGGGAGTCCATGGATCCCACTGTAGAGAGGACGGCACCCATCTCTAGGGAAAGAGGGAACACCTTTGTGAAGGAGGCTTCATCTAAAGGACCGATGTTCCCTAAAAAATGGTTAAGGAGGCCCGGCTGGTGTGGCTTAGTGGTTGAGCGTCGACCAATGAACTAGGAGGTTACCGGTTTGATTTCCAGTCAGGTAACGTGCCTGGTTTTCGGGTTTGATTCCCAGTGTGGGGTGTGCAGGAGGCAGCCGATCAATGATTCTCTCTCATCATTGATGTTTCTATCTCTCTCTCCCTCTCCCTTCCTCTCTGAGATCAATAAAAAATATTTTTAAAAATATGATCTAGGAACAAGCTTCAAGCCAAATGGACGGGAGAGAAGAGGGTGAGAGCAACAGGGAGGGTACTGGGGCATACGTCACTGTGGCTTCAGGGGTGGGGAAGAGGAGGGGTCTGCACATGCTGCACTGAAGTGTCTGGAGCCTTGATGGTGTGTGTGTGTGTGTGTGTGTGTGTGTGTGTGTGTGTGTGTGCCCGCACGCACATGCAACTCTCAGGGAGGTATCAGGTTCGACTCATTGTAAGGAGAAGTTTTCGTCTCCCAGATCACTAATTCGGGAAGAGGGCACTTTGTGAAATCAGAGCCTCTTTCTGGGAGCAAAGACGCTGTGAATCGTCATTGTCATTGAGTTTGCAATTTCCTCTTTCCTGTCTGCTATCCTCAGTGCTTGACTGATTCTCTCAAATAAGCAGTTTTCCCCGCTGGAGTCAAGCTAAATTCCATTTGACTGGATAAATATTACTGAGCACCTACTGCGTGTGGGCACCATGCGTGGGGCTAGGAGGAGGGAGACACAGGCCCTACCCCGTGTTCACTGAGCCCCAGATGATTCCAAGAACATCAGCAGTGTTTACCAGCTAGAGAGGTCCTTGATTTTAATTAGGAAGAGACAAATGGCAAGAAAATTACTGTAGTTAATGATGATGATGATAAAAATCCTTGTTATAGGAAGCTGACGTTTATTGAATACCTACTATTGAAATCTAAGCTCTTCCCATGTATTAATTCATACGATTTTTACAACAAGCCCCATGATGTGGGTGCGGTTAGAAGCCCCATTCCAGAGATGAGGAAATTTCCCAAGTCACAGAGCTGGTAAGCAAGGAGTTGGCATTTCACCAGCTGAACAGGCAAAACAGCCTGACCCCTCTCAGCGGAACCAGGCACTTCTCCATGGTGCTGGCGTGCCCCCAAATGCAACTGCCTACAAGAGTGCCTCTCTTCAATGTCTCCCAGACCCTCGAATTTAGTATGTCCAAAATGGAACTTATTAACACGTCCACCTCCCACCCTCTGAACTTGCCTGCCAGTCATCCTATCTCCATACATGGCAACCCTGTCCACCCAGGTGCTCAGGCGAGAACCTTCTCTCATGCTCACATTCATTCCATTAGCTGTTGACTGTGTAACCCAAATCCCGAATTCCCAATCCATTGCTTCTCTTCACCCCCACTGGCCAGACCCTGGTTCCAAACACCTAGATGATTGCAGTAGCCTCCTAACTGGTCTCTCTGCTCTCACTCTTCTCCCTTCCAAACCGGTTTCTCACACAAGGAAAGAGTGAACTTAAAATGTAAATAGGACCATGCTGTGCCCCTGCCTAAAACCTTTCAATGTCTTTCCATGTAATGAGAATCCATTCCAGCCTTTAGGGTCCCGCCCTGCTCTCCAACCCTCCCCTTCCTCCTTCACTCTGCACCAGCAGCCCCCTCTTCTGTCCCTTCAACAGGCCAAGGTCTTTCCTGCTCTGGGGCTTTGCTCCTGCTGTTCCCTCTCCTTGGAATGCCCTTCCTGTAGCTCTTTGCAGGGCTGGTTCCTTCTCATCCCTCAAGTATGAGCTTGAGTGTCATGTCCAAAGGATGCCTTTTCTTTTTCTTTCCTTTTCAAACTTTAAAAAAATTTTTTTTATTGACTTC